TGAGGACCTGACACATGAAGAGACCCTTTTGGATGAAGTTGATATCCCTGGTTTGCCAGAGGATGAAACAGAAAGACGTAGGTCTTGGCGCAAACTTCCCCAGCGTGTCAGGATTGCTGTGCGTAGATTGCACAGGGCTTTTGGACATGTCCCCAAGTCGGTGATGGTCAATTTGGTGCGTGCTGCAAAGGTGAGTAAGGAGTTTGTTGATGCAGTGAAGTTGCATAGATGTGAAACATGTGAGAAAACATCAGCAAAGAAACCCACTCACAAAGTTACGCTTCCAAGTGATTATACATTCAACCATACTTTGGGGATTGATGTATTGGAGTTGACAGATGTAACTGGACAGAAGTATCAAGTTCTCAACATGGTTTGCATTGGTACTTGTTTTCAACAGGCTGAGGTTGTGAAGGTTGGAGCAGGTCAAGCTTCTTCGCGATCCTGTTTGGACGCACTCATTAAACGTTGGTTCAGTTGGGCAGGACATCCTGTTGCTATCATGTGTGACCGTGGTTTGCACAATCGTGGTGTCTTACAACAATACATGGATGAACATAACATTCAAGTGCACCATGTGCCCCTTGAGAGCCCGGAATCATTGGGCCGAGTAGAGAGGCATGGTGGTTTGTTGAAAGCTCTTTTCAGGCGAGTGTGTACAGAAGTTGGGGCTTGTACCAAAGAACAGGTTGAGTCGTGCATCACACAAGGTGCTCAGTGTGAAGAACGACTCTGCACGTGTTGGAGGTTTTTCTCCATCTCAGTGGGTGCTTGGTCGAGCTCCACGTGGTGTAGCTTCACTCATGTCTGAGGAAGACCATGCACAGCTCGGAGCCATTCAGGCCCGACATGACCCTTCATCAATTTTTGCATTACAACATTTGGCCAGGATTGAGGCACAAAAGGCTTTTGTTCACCTTGATTGTTCAAGAAGAGTTCAGAGAGCGTTGACACGCAATGCCAGTGTGTTTGATCGTGAGTTCAACATTGGTGATCTTGTCACTTTCAGACGAGACAATCAGAGAGGAGGAACGTCCTGGTCACCAACATGTCGTGTGATCGGTCACGAGAACCAGAAGAACATATGGTTACTATGTGGTAACGTTCCGGTACTTGTAGCTTCTCACAACATACGCATTGCTTCTCCTTCTGAAGCTCTTGCTCAATCAGTGTTGAATGGTGAACCTGTGATTCCATACAAGGTCATCGATGATACAGGTCAACAAGCGTTTCTTGATGCAAGACAATCAGATGAGGTTGAAGTTGTTCGTGATGGTCCAGGACAAGCAGATGATGTTGAGGTTGTCCATGAAGGCAATGTGGATTCAGCACTCCCTCCTATACCAGAAGTATCTGAAGATGAATGGGATATACGGCCCGGTTTCTTTGAAGAAGATGAGGAGGAGGAAGATACAGGTCCAATGGAAGAAGACATCTTCTCACAGAGTAGAACCCCAGAGAGAAGAGTTGAAAGACCACATCCAGGAGATGGAGGTCATGAACGCAACGTGAGACCTCGAGTAGAGTCTCAGTTACAACCTGAGTCGGAGAGAGGCTCATCACTTGTGCCATCTCGAAGAGACTCCTTTGTGCCTGATCTTACTCCAAGTGGCTCCGTTTTGGGACCACTATCCTCGCCGTCAGCATCATCTTGGCCATTACGAAGAGAACTTTTGAATGACTTACCACATCAATTGCGAACACATCTTGAAAGAGCTCGTGAGAGAGACTCAGAACGAAGTCCTGAAGAACAACAAGAAGCACGAGCATTGTTTGCATCATTTTTGTCCCAGGAAGTTGAAGTCCCTGAGGACGAAGAGCAAGGTAAGAAAGTGTTGAAATCAATCCACTATGAATCAGCGTCACCTGATGTACAGAAGAACATCATGGATGCCAGAACCAAGGAGTGGAGCAAGTTCCTTGAGTTCGCTGCTGTTGTTGAAATCTCAAAAGAAGATGCTGAGAGGTTGATTGCTGAAGGACATCAATGTATTCCTAGCAAGTGGGTTGATGTTGACAAGAATCAGTTCATGAAAGGAAGATCAGATCAAGAATATGTGCCAAAGTTCAAGAGCCGGTTGATATCATGCGGCAATTTCGAAGTCAGTGAAGGTTTGAGATCAGACAGTCCTACAGCAGATACGGAAGCTCACAACATTCTTTGCTGTTGGGCGGCGATCCAGGGCGCACAATTGCACAGTGCGGACGTCGCATCCGCATATTTCCAAGGTCGTCCTCTTGATAGAGTTCTCATTATGAGACAACCCCGAGGAGGTCTCCCGGGAGTTGATCCAGAGGTGTTTTTCCTTGTGCGGGTGCCTATATATGGATTGACTGACAGCGGTCGAGGTTTTTGGTTGAGGTTGGACGGAGATGCCCGATCCAGTGGCTTGAAACAATCCAAGTTTTACCCAGGATTGTATTTCCTTCCAGGAACCGACAAAGATTGCGTTGCACTTATGGCGACACATGTGGATGACATCTTGTACGCATACATTCCTGAGGGAAAGTCAGTGATCGACAGCTTCTTGGAGAAGTTCAACTTGGGATCAAGTGAATCAAATTCGTTTCGCTATTGTGGCAAGCAATTTGAGCGTACTGCAGATGGAACAATCACACAAGACACTTGCGACAACACCCGTCGCATCAAGCCGATCAAGATCGCGCCAGGAAGATCAGCGTCCGAGCCGTTGGGTAAGGATGATGTGACCCGATTACGGTCTGTAACGGGATCATTGGCATGGGTGGCAAGACAGACTAGACCCGATTTGGGTTATCGTGTGAGCCGCCTACAGTCCAGTATTTCTGGAGCGACAGTTGCTATTTTGCACGACGCAAATGCCGTAGTACAGCTGGCACAACAAGGCATTGAGAACAAGCTCATTTTTCCAGGTGGACATCTAACCTGGGGAGAGGTTGGTATCATTACAGTAACAGATGCTTCATTTTCAAACGAGAAGAACTACAAATCACAACAAGGACGTTTCCATTTTCTTGGAGACATCAATGAGATCAAAGACCCCAAGACTACATCCTACAGGGTGATGCCATTGGGATTTGCATCAAATACAATTCGGCGAGTATGCCGCAGCACTCTTCAATGCGAGGCTTATTCACTGCAGGCTGGACAAGAGAGCGGTGACAAGCTACGTGGAGCATTGGCCGAACTGATGGGCCAACTTGACTCGATGAAAACATGGTTGGATGACAGCCGCAGCTGTATTCCACAACTGATGCTTTCAGACTGCAGGTCTCTAACAGACCATCTTGCGAATGAGGTACTCGGCAGGGTCGCAGACAAACGACTCGGCATTGAGTTGCAGTCGATTCATGAGTCACTTTGGCAAGACGGCCGGAGGACCTGGGATATGCATCATGGCGGAGGAGACATTGTTACCTGGATTGCTACAGGAACTATGGTCTCGGATGCTCTGACCAAGAGCATGCGCCCGGACCTCATTATCCGCGTCTTGAAGGAGTGCATTTACCGTGTACAGAAGAAGCCTTAGAGCCAACTTTTTCACTAGCATCATGTGATCCTTGAAGAACAGGTTGAGTGTGAGTTTGACCTGTCTAATGTATATTTTGTATAGCCAAGTGATCACATGCCCCGTTGACATTTGGCTTTAGGGCCCTTGAGTCATACCGCGCTGCCGTGGTAAAAGTTGGGCATTTGACGATCCCGTTTCCAATTCATAAAGGTATTCTTGGACACACGCATTTGGACTAACTTGGACTTGATATACTCCGCTGTGAAGGTTTGAAGGCCCCTCGTTATCCCTTCGGCTTACGCCCATTTTGGAGTCATGGCTCGACCTGTGCTCTTGCCAGTGGTTGGTGTGGTGGCCGCCATCTACGCGGCCAGCGTGGCCTTCGTTGGTGCACCCCAGGGCGCCCCTCGCGTGAGCCGAGTGCCAGCTCGCGTGAGCGCGGAGTACCTTGAACGTTTGGGACCCAAGGACTCGGATGTGCCATTTGATGCCGGCCAGGCCACTGGCCCTGGAGCGTCTGTGGAGTTCAAGAAGCGCCCTTTCGGCATCTTGCGATACCAGCCAGGCCAGGGTGGCAAGGGTGCTATGGCCATGGAGATCATCCCAAAGTCTCGCTATCCTGGTGACCCTCAGGGCCAGGCCTTTGCTTCCGGTGTGCAAAGTGGTTGGGTGGTGGCCTCCATCAACGGCCAGAACATGCTGACTGAGGACTTCGGCAAGATCATGGACTTGTTGGATGATGAGGTGGCTGACCCACGTTTCTCAAAGTCGACTGCTTTGGCACTGGAGAAGCAGGGAGGACGACTTGCAGAGCCTGCTGCAGCACCACTTGCGGTCCAGTTCAACTCCATCCCAGGCTACGTCTACAAGGGCGCTGAAATGAAGGAGGATGGCCAGGACGGCTTTGCTCGCTGAGCCACTGAGCCGTCACCATTAAATCAGGCCTGAGGGGCATATCATATCTGTTTTCTATTTTTCGGACGCCTGAAGCTTTCACTTCGGCAAAGCTTTTGAATGTGAAGCCAGAAGCAACACATCAAGACCTTTGGCCTTGTTAAAAAGGCGGCGTGGCAGTAGATGGCACCCAGAGCCCAGAGTTTGGAAGATTCTATTTACACATGACAGATATGACAGAAGCTCTTGCCTTTAATTTGATTTGTTAGTTTTGAGATGTTTTGAGGTAATTTCCACTCTGAGTCTAAAGCATCTAAAGCTCTTGGTGCACAAGTGGTTGATTGGTTGCTTTTAAGCCTCTATGGGATGACCATTGAACCGTAAGTGGATAGGAACCATTGACAATCCAATAGCTTGGAATATCCCCATGCAGAATTGTCACAGAACTTGCACAGTTACGAAGATGTCAGCTCCTCATTCTTCAAGAGAAGTGAATGTCGATATGCCTCAGATTTATACCCCCAACTCAGTTGGATGGATGGCCTTTACCAGGTTTTACTAACGTTTTACCATGTTTGTCGTCATCTTTGAAGCAACTTGAGATGATCCTCTGAGACGTTGAGCCGACCCTCTTCCTCTTCAAGCCCTGCACGGCCAGCGAGCTCTGCTCGCGCCACCAAGATTGGTGTGCAGGTGCGGTGGGATCATATGGATCATGTCCTCTGCCGATGATTGCACAAACACCTTTGAACACCTTTGAACACTTTGAAGCACGTGCGTCATTGTGTCATGTACCATTGATATTGGGATGATATTGGATACCGTTCTTTGGACTCATTTTTTGAGGAAAAATCTATGAGTCAAAGATCCGAAACATGGCTGACAGAGATGATGGCTGAAGCCTCAGGCGAGGAGGAAGACCTGGTGCAGAGCGAACGAACCCTGGATGAATTTGGCAGGGGGAGTTTCCATCTCAGATGGTTCCAACAGATTTCGGAATCATTTAGACTGAGAAGAGGCTTGGCGACTCAAAGAGCTTGTAATGTGGTAAACCCAATAAGAAGGATAAAGATCCTCCTATTTCGGACGGTTGATACCAAAGCGTTTTTGCTCAATCAAATGGCGACTTACATTGAGTTTACCACAGCAGAATGGCGATTTTAAGGAGCTCACTTAGCAATGGACCAGGCTCCTGAAGTTGCTCGAAAGGCGAGCAAGTGCTGTGCGGGTGTCCTTTGTGTCCATCAATCCATCGGGGTTTGAAAGTGGGGATACCGGGGATACCCAAGAAAAGAAGGTCATAGAAGGTCTAGTGTTTTTGTTTGCCATTGTTTTATGGCCATATTTTGAGGGTGATCATATTCGGACAATATCATTGCGCGTTATAGAAGGATGTAGAAGGTATTTGCAATAAGTTGTCCGTGCCAATAATACATACATTACATTACATTACATGATATTATATATATATATATTATACACATATGATATATATATATACATACACACATACATACATACACACATACATACATACATACATACATACCTACATACCTACATACCTACATACCTACATACCTACATACCTACATACCTACATACCTACATACCTACATACCTGCATACCTGCATACCTACATACCTACATACCTACATACCTACATACCATACATACCTGCACATATACCTACATATACATACATACATATACATATAACCATCACATACATACATACATTACATACCTACATACCTACACACCTACATACATACATACCTACCTACCTACATACCTACATACCTACATACCTACATACCTACATACCTACATACCTACATACCTACATACCTACCTACATACCTACATACCTACATACCTACATACCTACATACTACATACCTACATACCTACATACCTACATACCTACATACCTACATACCTACATACCTACATACCTACATACCTACATACCTACATACCTACATATACCCATACATACCATACCTACATACCTACATACCTACATACCTACATACCTACATACCTACATACCTACATACCTACATACCTACATACCTACATACCTACATACCTACATACCTACATACCTACATACCTACATACCTACATACCTACATACCTACATACCTACATACCTACATACCTACATACCTGACCTACATACCTACATACCTACATACATACATACCTACATACCCTACATACCTACCATACCATACCTACATACCTACATACCTACATACCTACATACCTACATACCTACATACCTACATACCTACATACCTACCTATACCTACATACATACTACATACCTACAGACCTACATCCCTACATACCTACATACCTACATACCTACATACCTACATACCTACATACATACATACATACATACATACATACATACCTACATACATACCTACATACATACATACCTACATACCTACATACCTACATACCTACATACATACATACGTACGTACGTACGTACGTACATACATACATACATAATACCCCTAAGTTGATCCTCTATAAAATGCCGATGCTTTGACTCTATAAAATGCTGTTCCGGGACCCATTTTATAGAGGACTGGCTTGGCTGTCTATAAAATGCCCCTCCAGAGCTCCCTATTTTATCATTTTATAGAGAGCTTCCCTCCCAGCATCAAAGATGATAGAGAGGTGCAAGATGTTGCAGATGGATGATGCATTTTATAGGAGGGATTCTTTGCAAAATGTTACCGTCAAAAAATAAGTACCACAAATGGCTTTGTTGGTAGTTTTTTTTGGGAAAACATTCATATAAATGCATACTTAATAGATAGATAGATAGATCTGCACAAATTTTAACATTTCACTATGGTACAAAAGCAACTTTTTCTTGTTTACAAACCATAAAAGTGACATTTTTCATTTTGCATCATTTTCCCCAGTGATTTTCTCACGTTGTGTCTCCCCTTTCCTGCTCCTCGTTGTGTCTCCACACTTCCGGCTGAAACCTCGGCTCGCTGGCTTTTGTCGAGTCGGGGTTCCGCCAACGCGCGCGCGCGTGTTTAACGCGCGCGCGCGTTGGTGGAAAGGCGGAAAGACTGGGTTGTTGCCCGATGTCGCGCTGCGTGTTTTTGCACACGCGTCGTCTGCGGAGAAGCATTTCATAGAGATGACGGAGAGGTCATTTCATAGAGGGTTCCCACTTGCTGTCTGGATGTTGGCTGACGGAGGACCATTTTATAGCCAATTTTCTCTATAAAATGCTTCGTAAAGCATCCTAGGGAACAAGTAAGGGGTATCATACATACATACATACATACATACATACATACATACATACACACATACACACATACATACATACATACATACATACATACATACATACATACCATATATATATTTTTCCATATCTTTCGATATAGATTTGACATATCCCATGACATGCGGATCATGCGGCTGAGTTTCCTCCATTTCGGCTTCACGGTGACAGGTGGCGGAGGAGTTGAACGAGGCCTGTCCAGGCCTCGGCGGCTTCCAGGTCTGTCGCAGCAGCGAGGGCGACTCCCCCGGGGAGCTGCTGGTCATCGCGAACGCGGGGGAGGATCCCAAGAAGAGCTGTTTGAAGGCGGAGATTTATTGGATGGGGATGGATTTTTATTGAATATGTAAAATGATGTATATACAGATTCTATGTGTTGGTATGTGTTTAAGTTTGGAACTTACATGTTTTGGTGGATGGATGGAGGATTTGTGGTTGCTATGTATGTGACACCACAACAATTGGGGTAGGGGGAAACGTGGCGAGGTGATTGGGATGGGTCCATTGTTCAACATCAAGTGATCATCATCTGGACACCGCCATTTCTATCAGCATTTTCTGCTTTACTTGCCATTGTCTTCAGTCCACTTCAACATTTTTTCGATCAGGCAAGGGAGAGAGTTCGAGAGCAAACCTGATTTATAAAATGGGCTGAATATGATTTGGGAATCTCGGTAGCAGGGAACCGTAAATCCACCAAAGAAGTGTGGTTTACTACACATCAGTGAAGCAGTGCGTGATTTTGTTCGCCCAGCTTGATTTGTTTCTCAAGCGAATTTGCTCGGACCGATTGGGGCAGCCAAGCTGCCATGAATGATGTTGATGAAATCACAAGATTGGTCCGTGGCAATGCATGCTGTCTAGTAGCTGCTATCGGATTCGCATTGAACTACTTGCCCGTGAAGAAGTACGACACAGGTGATGGTATTTTCTTCTGTGCGGCCATGTCCGTCGGCATTCTCGGAGTGGGTTTGCTGCAAGGAATGTTTTTGACGAGCCTCTTGGCCCACAGATTTTTAGAACTGACTATCCCGAACATCCCCAACAACCCCAAGAGCCAAAACGGGCCAAAACCAAGGGACTTTGGGATCCCCTGAAACGAGTCAACGTTGTCTCGGGTAGGAGGTGACAAAGCACGATCAACTTGTGAGGTGGGGGTGTATTTCTCCAGGTACGGCAGGCCTCATTATCCCCAAGTTTGAGCCGTTGGCGGCGTTGGGAGGAGCCATGTGGATGCTGGGCAACCTGGACTGACAGGTTGGTGTTTTTCCGATCTGAACTGGTGTTTTTTTTTTGCAACGGTTCCCCGGTGTTTTTTGCAACAGTTCCCCGGTTTTTTTCGCCTTGGTGGTGTTTGCAAGTTCCCCGTTATGTTTTTGCAATGGTTTCGGCCGGTGTTTTATTGCATCGGTTGGCTGGTAGTAGTGGTAGTAGTGTCGTGGTTGCAAAACACACTTGCTACTTGCGCAAAAAGCACCGAGCCCAGGCAACCTCATGTGTCCATACATCATCCAGATCATTGGTGCCTTGGGCTGAACACTTTTTTCTTGGAAAATCACCGGAAACATCCTTTAAAATTGAAGTTCATCATCATTTTTCACCCAAGAAAGACATAACTGGGGGTATAATGTCCCATTTACAGACACGCCCAGATCAGAGATGCCGAGAGTTGAAAGTCTTGTTAGTCTCGTTCTGACCGGAATGTTGGGGCATTAGGACTATGAATTGGAGATGATCTCACACCTTGGCCCCCAGAGTGTGCTGCCAGTTTTTGACCCAACTTTGGACCTTTGGGACTCCGTACTCCGTTCAGGTCTGGGCCTTGGGCTGACGATGTGGGATTTGAGCAACATGTTGGTGGGTTGGTTCATTGGGCACTTTGGCCTCTTCGGCGTGGACAAGGAAATCATTCAACATCCGCTGCTGAACTATGTGGGCCTTGTGCTGGCATCTGTATCTCTAATCTTCTTCTCTTTGTCCTCGGTGTTGAACAGCCAAGATAAAGAGCTGTCTCCGTCGAAAAAGGAGCTCAGGGAAGACTGCAACAGTGTGAGGTTGAAGATCCAGAACAAAGGCCACTGGCAAGAGATGCAGCAACATCAACTGTAATGCGGTATATAAACCAATACTATGAATCAAATCATAATTATACAATGCTATATTATATATAAACATATATATATATACTTATATATAGAAATCTAATTATTGGCATTTTTATTCTGATTTATGATTGATTCCAGATCCCACATGTCCCCTTAGCAAATATGGTGACTGGCACCGTTCTGAAACGTTGACCTTTTTTCGCCATGGCACCTCTAGGAGATCGAGGCCAAGGTGGTACGGGAACCAGCGGCTTCGCCCTCTTCGGTGGTTTCGGAGCCGAGTCCCGAACCCGCTCCGCAGCCTGGCAGGTTTTCCAACGCGAACCTGTCTGGCTTTGGAATGGAAAGTCTGGCAATTTTGGTGGGAAGAAAAACCATGGGATTTTTGTGGATGTAGTTTTTTTCGTATAAAGCCATCTGAGATTCCATACCTTTCGGATGGGACGCTTGGGGTGGTGGGTCTGAATCCAATCTTCACCATGTTTGGGGTGCCTTTTGATCGGAATTTCAGCTCGCTCAGGATGTTTTCCATCCAAAAGAGGGGCCTTTTGAATCATCCAAACAGCTCCGATTTGAAGATTAGGACTTCTCAGCTGGAACGTCCTGAGAAAAAGGTGAAGTGTAAATAAGTGTAACGTCCAACGCAGGGAGCCGCCCAGGTCTCTCGCACGAGCTGCATCGGACCCCACGGAACTGGTGGTGGGTGAAGAAATGCGCCAGGTGCGCACCATGCGCACCAGCGACGCTGGGCGATGGCCAAGACATGCCGAGACCATGGAAAACCCACCAGTTGTAGATCATTTTCCGGGAAACTTAGATGGTCACAGTGGTCACATCTATGGAAAGGTGTACCCGTTTAGGTAATATTAACGCATCCTATTTTTTGATGGAAAGGTGAACCCAGATACTGCATTGATATGAGATGGAAACGGATATGAGTACATGCCGATTGAATCACATTGGCATATATTGGCATATGACACACGGACATATTTTCACTATCAATGGTTAATGATCTGAAACTATATCTGACAACATTTGATACATGATGCCCTGCATGATGTTTGAAAAAAGTGGACTCTGTGCCACATGGCTTCCAAGGAACGAGTCTATTCGTGGTTGTCCGAACGTGTCCACCCGAACCACCGCACCTCCGAAAGTGATCTTGAAGCCGGTCCGAAGCTTACAGGATGGGGAGAATGAACCGAGACTGGGAATGGATGGGAATGGATGGGAATGGATGGGAATGGATGGGAATGGATGGGAATGGATGGGAATGGATGGGAATGGATGGGAACGGTGAAGACTTGTGAAGCAGGATGAACTTCCCATATCAAATCTCGAACGAGTTGGAGTTGAAACAATTTACATCGACGAAAGTGCCCTTTGGCACAGAACAGGATTTCGTAGTATTTCGTATACAACATCCATCACAAGAGCGCTTGTGTTTGTGGCATCAGATAGACTGCTGGCTTGTTCTGTCAAAACTTGCAAAGAATTTAATATCCTGCTCTCCATTCTGGTATGGTTCGGAATGATTGGTCCATATTGGACCCCAAAATGGTTGGTCTAATACAAAAACTGAGAAACATTGTGGGTCCAGCTGTACCCCAGTTTGGACCCATACCCCAGTTGCCAGAATTGGCAGGACTGCCGAAGAACACGACCATCCTGCAGCTGTTAATTGGCTCTATGATGGCGATGGTGGCAGGAACTTTGTTTGGCACCACCTTTGTGCTTCTTGGATTTGATGAGTTGGTGGTTTTTCACGGTGTTCCAGTTCCCCGGTTCCACCCTTTGTGGAATCTACGAAGATGTCATCTTTTTTTTGGGCCTTATTTGGCCAGCCAAGGCTTCCGACGGATTTGTTGCAAGGGGACTTTGGCAAACAGCACAGCAGGTCCATTATGGACTATGTCTTTAGCCACTTCACTGGCATCTTCCTCATGGCAGCTTTTGCGCTGATGTGCTACGTTCCTTGAACTTAAAGCAACCACCAAAAACAATAAACAAGTAACCTCTGATTGGAATAGTGGTCACTTTTTTGTTCTATCTTTTTGATTCTTTTTTGGATACCACAGACTCTTGCCTTTTAGCAGATAACTTCTTTCGTGTCACAGCAGACTGGACGATTACGAACCGTGACTTTGCGGGTGCACATCAAGTAAGAACACATAAATCAGCACAACCCTTTGCTATGAGAGGAACCATAATCGAAGGAAGTTTAGAAGTCAAACTTCCGACAATATGGACAGATGAAAAGCAGAGCAGGGAAGAGGTAGAGAGAAGAGAAAGATCAGAAGAAAGAAGAGTAGAAGAGAAAGAGTCAGAAGAAAGCAGATGCAGATGCGCGAAAAGGTAGGAAAGTCGCGAAACACTGTGTTTTCCCAATGATTTGGGGCTCCGGAGGGTCGAAAAGTAGGCTCGCTAAAGCGGCGGGTGCAGAGCCAGCTGGCCAGATGAGAGATGAAAAGTTGCACGCCGTTGTGGCGCGAAGCACATTTGGAAGTCAAAATGTTAAAAACACCAGGGGTTCGGACCACTTTTGGAAGTTGCGATGTCGAAAAAGTGCACGCCGTTGTGGCGCGAAGCACATTTGGAAGTCAAAATGTTAAAAACACCAGGGGTTCGGACCACTTTTGGAAGTTGCGATGTCGAAAAAGTGCGCGCCGTTGTGGCGCGAAGCACATTTCGAAGTCAAAATGTACAAAACACACGATTCTCGGACCACTTTTGGAAGTTGAGATGTTGAAAAAGTGCACGCCGTTGTGGCGCGAAGGACATTTCGAAGTAAACATGTTCATAACACTAGGGGTTCGGACCACTTTTGGAGGTTCAGATGTCGAAAAAGTGCACGCGGTTGTGGCGCGAAGCACATTTCGAAGTCAACATGTTAAACACACCAGGGGTTCGGACCACTTTTGGAGGTTCAGATGTCGCTTCGCTTCGCTTCACTACACTACACTACATTACAATACACTACACTACACTCCACTACACTACACTCCACTACATTACACAACACTACAACTACAACTACACAACTACACTCCACTACACTCCGCTACACTCCACTACACTAAATTACACTACACTACATTACACTACACTCCACTACACTACACTGCATTACACTACACTACACTACCTTCCAGTACACTTCTCTACATGACACTACACTCCACTACACTACAACTACAACTACAACTACAACACAACTACACTCCACTACAATACACTCCGCTACACTACACTAAATTACACTACACTACATTACACTACACTACACTCCACTACACTACATTACACTACACTACCTTGCGCTACACTTCACTACATTACACTACACGACACTCCACTACAAATATAACTACGACTACGCAACTACACTCCACTACACTACACTACATTACACTACACTACATTACACTACACTACACTACATTCCACTACACTCCACCACACTACACTCCACTACAGTACATTACACTGAATGACGCTGCACCACAGATAGACAGGTAGACAGGTAGACAGATAGATAGATAGATAGATTAGATTAGATTAGATTAGATTAGATAGATAGATAGATAGAGAGATAGACAGATAGACAGATAGACACATAGACAGATAGACAGATAGACAGATGAAAGAGAGAGAGAGAGATAGATAGATAGATAGATAGATAGATAGATAGGTAATTAGATGAAAGAGAGAGAGATAGATCGATAGATACATAGATACATAGAAGATAGGTTGGTAGGTAGGTAGATAGTCAGAGAAAGAGAGAGAAAGAGAGGAGACCTCAAGCACCTTTCGGTCCATCAGTGGATTCGCTCTGCCATCCCTGATTCACAACAACCAACCTCTCCTATAGGTTTCCTATTTTTGAAACTTCCGCCACCGCCTTGTGCGGTACTACTGGTATCCATGACCAGGAGTGGTGCTGTCTTTCTCAGCTCAGGTGGCCATCCGTGGAAAAAAAAAGCTACGCACCTCGAAGCCTCGTGATTCCTGCCTTATCTTCTGGAGTCATCTGGGGCATTGCTCAGGTCAGGTCAGATCTGCGTTTTTCTCATTGGGTAAGGATGGGTAAGGGTCAACGATGGGGACTTGCAAAGTCCCTAAACTCAAGATTGTTTGAGGATAACACCCTTGTTTCCCTTTTCAGATTCATGGTCCTATATATCTCCTGGTAGGTTGTTTTTTGTAATACAACTCCAAAAACAACAATCGATTTTTGGAGACTCGTTTCCAAAGCGAGCATTTTCCACAATGACAGTTGCTTTGGAAATGTTAACCCTGGATTTATAAACCATGGTTAATAACCATTAATACCCATTAATACCCATTAAATACAACACCATTGTTTTTCTTTTCGACCCTCAAATATGTTTTGGTCATCCCAGGGGGCCAAGCCAACGCCCAGGTGGCTTGGTTTCAGGCGAATTTGGATTTGGGCTTTTCAGTGTCCTTCCCGGTCATTGCGAGCCTTCCAGGAGTCATTGGGTCTCCTGGCAACAAGGGCTACAGCAGATGGCCTTTCATTGAGGAAATACCAAGGGATCCACAAACGGCTTTGGTACCTGTAATGGCTCCAAAGTTCGAACTTTTGGATAGTTTTTTACCACTTCCTGATGTTTTTTTCCCCGGAAATATAGGTTTTAGATCGAACACCCATATTTTACCCATACGAAACCCATACTCTTCCCATGAATGAACACCCATAAACTTTCAAAAATCTGTACTTGTCCTGTAAATCTTCCATGAACAAATATGCTTGTACGTTGTATGGCCCATTTCAGATCGTAGCGCTTCGGGGAACTTCATCGTATGGCATCCATGGCATGAACTTCTTTCTGCAGGTACAAGTGCCACAGGAGTAAGGGCGCTGATTGTGCAATTAATGCTCCTTCATGGTTGCTAAAGCATGTTTCATTTAATGAGGTGAATTCAGTAACAGAAATACGAAGAAAGGGATGCAGAACTTCATTAAGCATGGGGTTTGCAAAACCCGAAAGCCCGGGTTTTCAGAAACAACACGGTCTTTTTGTTCAAACCTTCGTTTTTCAGAAAGGCTTGTTGCGGGTGTGCAAAGCAATAATTTGATTATGTACTCTTAACATACCAAATTATTGGTATCTATTGGCTTTTTGCCACCCATGAACAAGCCTGCTTTACTAGAGATTTTTCTATGATGGATCTCTATCTCTGCATTCTAAGAATCTACCAGTCTACCAGTAGCTGTATTTGGTTTCAATTCAAATTTTCCTTCTAATTGTCTACAGTATTCAATGTGTTTGTTTTCTATTAAATTTGAACCGAGACAGCAAACGACAACCAAAAAAACAAACTACTTGGATCTAAGCACGTGCAAATGGCATTTCCAAATGACGATGCATACACAACAACAGGCCACGAGAAAAACCTTGGTGATTTGAATTCTTTATACCCGCTATATCCATTTGAAGACCCGAAGGTGTCTCGGGTGGGAGCAATCCAAGGCTATTGATCGGCATTTGCTGCTTTGGAGAAGTGGAGAGCTTTTGGAGCCGCGTTTTTGCTGCTCTGGGGCTGCTTCTCCGAATTCCAGGTGCCGGTTTATTGGGAGCTTTATCACGAAATACTAGTCATATGGTTCATATGTGTAAAGTTAGAGCTTCGCACACCGGCGATGCCACAAGGGTGTGGTCTGCGCGTGCGCGCAGGCGCAGAGCAAAGTGTGATGTTCTTGTCATACCGCAGCTTGTAACCATCTTACCATACATCTTTTCGTCGCATTTTTGTGCTGGTTATTCTTCTTTTTCTTCTTCTTCATCTTCTTCTTCTTCTTGTTGTTCTTGTTGTTCTTGTTGTCCTTGTTGTCCTTGTTCTTCTTCTTCTTCTTCTTGTTGTTGTTGTTGTTGCAGCACAGCTTATTTTCGCATTTTTGGTCGGCCCCTAAAAATCGCCAAATAGGCGGTGTTTTTGCGTATTTTTGAAACCTTCGGAGCAAACAATGCCATAAATACCGATGCTTTTTGCGCCTCGGAAGCCCCAAACCATGGTATTTACAATGTTCATTGCCCCTGGAAACAAAAATCACAGTATTTACAGTGTTTTTGTGCCAGTGCCTAGTGCCTGATAAAAAAACACTGTTATTTACGCAGTTTTCTCCATGTTGCAAGATGTAAGTGTTTATATGCGAAGAGGACAAAAACACGGTATTTTATTTTTATTATTTTACGATGTTTTTGCCTCCCGAGCGCAGCAAAAAATCGTCAAGCAATGGCTCAAAAACGGTCCAAAATCGACTTCTGAAAGCATCTTGTAATTTTAGCCTCTCTTTTCCCGGCCCCATACGGAGCGCGCCCCCGGGAAGAAATTAGCTCAGGCTCCAGATGCATCAGCAGTTTCGGAAACGGAACTCTGGGTGCATGTGCCAGCGAAAGTGACAAGACACTGACACTGGCCCCGCATAGCCTTACCCCCATGCCCCTTGAAGGACGGACCGACCAGCTGCTCGGGAGGCTCCAGTGCCTAAGCCCGTGAAAGTGACAAGACGGTGGCCTCGCAGAGCCTTACCCCCATATCTCTGAAGCTCTACGGGGAGGCTGCTGCAGTGCCTAACGTCGCTTTCTGAACGGAGAAGAAATTAGCTTCAAACGCGGTTGCCAGGCTCCAGATGCATCAGCAGCGTTCCGGAAACGGACTTCTTGGGCGCAGACGGACCAGGTGCTCCGCTGGGAGGCTCCAGTGCCTACAGTAACGGTGCTTCAAGTGCAGCTGCCAGGCACCAGATGCATCAGCAGCGCTCCGGAAACGCACCTCTTGGGTGCATGTGACAAAAGGCTGGCCTCGCAGAGCCTTGCCCCAATGCCCCAAAAAGACGGACCAGGTGCTCTGCTGGGAGGCTCCAGTGCCTAACGCTATTTTCTGCACAGACAAGAAGCGCTGCACAAACGGACCCTTTGGCTACATCCAAACAGTGGACGTTACACCTTGTGTCGTATCCCTCTTCTGTGACGCGCCCCCCTGCTGTTGGCTGGGGTCGGCGGACTGTGTGTGTGTGTGTGTCTGTGTGTGTTGTGTGTCAACTCCTGTGCTCTAAGGACTTCGCAAGCGCTAATTTCCTTCGTTTCCGTTATTTCGCAACCATCCAGCATGCTATTAACAGACAATAGAATTTGCATGACGGCAATCCACAAAGAATACAGCGAAGGCATCAAAAGAGAATGATGATTTCAGAAAAGCATGTTTTGCCCCTGGCGGTTTGCATTTCAGCGTCGCGCATTTCCAAGAAGTTGGATCAGTTTTGAACAATGTCTACGCATTCACCATGTATGCATGTAATGTAGATCATGAGATGGTGAAGTCAGGAAGAGGATGAGCGCGGAGAAGCGTACGATTCTGCGCAGTGTGTTTCACGTGGAGAAGTCCGAAAGATGACGACTTCAGAGATACTTTCGGTGTTCCCACGCAGCGATTTTAGCTAGGACCAGGATGTTTTCAATTTTCGAGCATGTAGGGCGTGCCAGGGATCATTGCAAGTCTGGCACTAACAAAGACGCTTGCTTTGATCTGTGACATCAGAAAGGGACGCCTTTCTGACGTACCTGCTCATTTGAAACTGTTAATCAAGCTGTTGCAGTCAGGCTGTTTAGGTGAATCAGGTCAGCTGCACTTGTTCGTGTCCTTGACATCGAAGGCGACTTAGGAATACAAGTCAGCACATGCAGTGTGTACTTCCGGGTGTTGGACCTTACTTGGTCTCACCGCAATCTTTTTCATGAAGTGCAGTAACGTTTTTTCAAAGAAGTAGGTATCAAGCAGAGGAACAAGCAAACAGAGGAACTGCTGAAGCCTGTCATTTTCACAGCTCAATTTGCGACCCTGATCCTTCATCCGAAGGTGACTGGGATACCTGTGTGTGTGTAACATCTGAATAGATGTAAAACTTCTCTCTTTTTCTTCCTTCTGTCCTCTCCCTTTTTAAACCTAGTGCAGGGGGGTGCAGAGCACAGTGGAGACTGCACCCAACGAAGCTATCCACTTGTGCTGGAAGCAGAGTCTGATCAACTCTGTGTACCTGCAAAATTTGGTTTCAACTGTTGATCAAGCTGTTACACTGCGTTGTTTCGAATCTACACGGTTGCCACAATCTGTATTGCATGCATCAGAACCTTCCTCAGATTTTCGCCGAAACCATATCGCCGACAGTATTAAGAAGTACCTCATGTGGCTCTTTTATTCATCTAATAATCTAGGCTGGTTTGCATGTTTCAGGATTCAGTTCCTGGCGGATCATATAATGATCCATTCTTGTCTAGTGTGATTTCCATGGTGGCTCCGACATGGTGCCATGGAGCCATTGGAGGCAACCCTCTTCAGGGTGAGTGTTGACAGACTTGAATTCTGAATTTACACGTTTCAACTCAGTAATTCATTTAAGTAAAGTGCAACAGCCTGCCTTTCGGTTATTCGCCTTTTGTGATGTCCCGCCGCTCCTATTGTCCCAGGGACCCCAGTGCTGCGTTCTTTCAAGGGAAGCCATTCCGAATGTTCTGAAACCTCCGTTTTTTGCAGCAACTTTGCAGCACCGTTGCATCAAATCACGACATATGAATCAGGCAGGCTCATGTCTTTCAGGTGTGGTCTTTTTCCTTTTGATGGTTGTCTGGTGAGGTGAAACATGTTGTGCATCTAATTCGATGGAACTTGAAAGCTGTTTTATGCCAATTGGGGCAAGACTTGACCACGGTCCCGGTGCAGGGAATAATCGCACGACCTTTAGGCATTTAGGGACTGAATCCTGTTTTTAATTAATTGTTTTGGTTTATTGTCGGTCATCAACTAGTCCCCCATTTGGTCCCTAATTTCCCCGCGTGCCTCTCCGTAATGTGTCGTGGGGTTTAGGTGTGTGCGCTGTTTTGTTCAGGTCCGTTTCGCCGTGTAGGTTGGTTCCGGAGGTCCGTCTGTTCCTCTCCCCCCCCTGCGCTGTTTTTGGCCGTTTGCCCTTCGTGTGTCCGCTTTTTTCTTCCTCTTGCCTTTCAGGGTTGACCCGGCTCCGGCCGGGTGTGTGTGCGTGTAACATCTGAATAGATGTAAAACTTCTTCTCTCTCTTTTTCTTCCTTTGTCCTCTCCCTTTCTAATTCTAAATTTAATGCAGGGGGACTGGAGCCGATTTGCCTATCCAGTCCAACGAAGCTATGGCATTTCGGTGGATGAGTGGTCTGATCAACCACTTGTACCTGCAAAACTCTGTTTGAACTGTTGACCATGCTGTTACACTGCGTTGTTTCGAATCTACACGGTTGCCACAATCTGTATTGCATGCATCAGAACCTTCCTCAGATTTTCGCCGAAACCATATCGCCGACAGTATTAAGAAGTACCTCATGTGGCTCTTTTATTCATCTAATAATCTAGGCTGGTTTGCATGTTTCAGGATTCAGTTCCTGCCGGATCATATAATGATCCATTCTTGTCTAGTGTGTGTGTGTATGTGTGTGTATATATATATATATCACTTCAGGGACTACTTGCAGGAACCGATGGTTTTCTCTTAACATCCCTAAACCATTTCCAGGACTTTGGATCGGTCGCTTGACATCATTGCAAGACATCATTCCATGGGTCCCTGGGGACCATTCGCAAACCTGTGAGGTGTTGTCCTCATTGCGCTGTCTGCATAATTGGTTCCAATACCTGCCAGTTGTGCGAGTTAAATTGTGGCACATGACCACAGAGTTTTGCATAGTTTCCTCTGCCTTCATCAGCTGCACAGTTTGAGGGCAGAACAATCATTTTCGTAGCTAGCTGCGAATGGTTCTGTAGTGGTTCGGACTCAAATTTGGCTGGGTTTGCCTTCAAAGGGGTTGCAGTGCTGCTCTCACAGATTCCACAGCCACAAATGTCTGAACTGCTGCTCAACTATTCGCTGTTCTTATGTTGCTTCCGACTCACGTCGGACACGTTTCGCTTCTTTTCTGATCTGCTCTCCGCTGATGGGGAACCCCATGGATGGGGAGAATAGATGATTTCCATTGAGTTGCTTAGTTCCACGTCCCTTCACTGGGTTTGTGGATCTTTTGAAACTTCTTGCATCCTGGCAGAAAAATTCTGTCATGATGGACGTGTTTCCTTCCGGATTGCTTAGCCGCAACCATGCTGCGCTGCATGGTGGGTTCTTGACGGCTCTTTTGTCCAGACGGGTGACTTGGAGAGCCCCGACCTTTGTCAGCATCCGGCCGACCACGGATGATATTTCCGTGCACAGAGCTGTTGTTTGCAGACCATTATCTCACGGCAGTCATGGGAGGGTGTGCTAGGGGGGTTACTGCAAGATGGCATGGATACCATCACAAATAGACAGGAATCTAATTAAACTTAAACAAAGCTAATTAAACTTAAATAAAGCTAAATAAAGCTAAGTAAAGCTAAATAAAGCTAAATAAGGTTAAATAAAGCTAAATAAACTTAAATAAACTTAAATAAACTTAAATAAAGTTAGTCAGTTTCGTCACATGAGAAAACGTCCAAAAACATCAAAAAACAATGGTTTTCCATGATTTTGGTGAACAATGCCAAAGTTGGAGGTTGATTGGTGCAAAGTCAATCTTTAAAAAATGAACTGGTGTTTCTGAAACCATTACCCTTCAGCCACACCGGCATTGTTGGATGTTTTCCTTCTCTCGTCCCTTGCACTCAAACAAAAGGTTTTATTGCATTATAGTGATTTGGAACAGTGGCTGGATATCATTTTTGGTGATGCCCACAAAGGTTGCAGTAACAGAACCCATGTGTCAATCAAATGGTCATTCCCAGTCAAATGAGATCTGGGGGAAACTGGAATTTGTCTGGGGGTCTGAGGTATTGTGGATTCAATAGAATGGCAAAAAAATGACTGGTGAAATTTTAGATATGAATAAAGCCAAGAAATTAGGTGGTCTGTAAATAAAGTTAAATAAAAATAAATACTATTAAATAAAGCTAAACACCCTGAAATAAAGCTAAAAGACCGCTAAATAAAGCTAAGCTAAGCAAAATACAGTTACACTCCGGTAATTTAACGTAACCGTGCGTTTTCGAATTTTACAGTGCTAACGTGACTATCACTTGGGTCTCCCAGACCAGCATGTTCCCCAGAGACCCTGGCCAAGGAAAACCAACTAACGTGGCTATCATTTTACAGCTCAAAGGTTACAACATGGAAGGAAGCCCACTAACGTGGCTATCATTTTACACCATTCAAGGTTTCCAACATGGAAGGAAGCCCACTAACGTGGCTATCATTTTACAGCACTCAGGGTTTTCAGCATGGAAGGACGCCCACTAACGTGGCTATCATTTTACACCATTCAAGGTTTCCAACAAGGAAGGAGGAATCCCACTAACGTGGCTATCATCCTGTTCTCCACCGCACGTATAACATATCAAAAGGAGGACGCAACTAACGTGGCTATCATCGGGATATGGCCATTTTACACATACCTAACGTGGAAAAACCTATCGTTATACGCGGGAAATTTGCATCACGTTAGTTTACCAGAGTGCAAATAAAGCCAAATAAAGCCAAATAAAGCCAAATAAAGCTAAATAAAGCTAAATAAAGCTAAGGTGGGTGCAGTAACCTCCCCCAAAAAACCTCGCAAATAGCGATCAAAATGGATTTTGGGGGTGGTTTTCCACTGTCCCCACTGGGTACCCCACAGAGCCGACTTGATGGTTTGGACTCCCACAAATTGTGTTTTTTGGTGGTTTTGCAACAACACAAAATTGCTCTTTTCTGTAGCAACCATGCCATCAAGCCGGCTGGCGGCTACACCAGCTGGAGCACAAGCCATTGCCCCCAAGTCAAGTGCTCACAGTTCCCACCGAGCGACCACTTAGTGATCACAATTTCTGGCTATGAGCGACATTCTGAAGGGAATTGGCAATTCCAAAAACACTTGGAAATACCCTTCCATAGACATGCCTTCATTGAAACCCTGATTTGCCCACACCCCCCCAGCAGACACCCCCATGATCCCTGTGATTATCTCTTTGTACAGAGCCATTGCTTGATGGCTACACTGGTCTCTTGCTGCGACACCAAAAAGTGCTGATCTCGGAGCGGGTCCAAGGGCACCCCCAAAGTTGAGAGGGTTGGGCCAGTTCCGTCCAGGTCTGCCTGATCTTCGCCAGGCCTTGGTGTTTCCCAAAGACTCAGAAGAGTGGCAGGACAAAGTGGACGAGAACGATCCAGACGCTTGGTGAAACCACCGTTTTTTTCCCAGGGATCGTGCGGCCTGTGAGGCGCCGGGCCTGTTGCGCCAAGGAGTGCGCTGGTCTTTGGGCTTTGGCGACACTGGAAAAGGTGGAGTGGAAAGACTACCTCGACAAGGGTTTCAATGCGCACAAAGATGACGACGCCTAGCTGCAAGAGCATGCGCGACATTTTCAGGACCACCACAAACATCAGTAGAAACCATTCAACCCCATTTTTGATGACATCCCAGGAAACCATATTAAACCATATGAAACATATTAAAGTTGATGGCATCACCAAGGATCCAGAGACCATGGTGGCCGACGGACTGAGCTCCGAGGAGTTGGAAGAATATCGAAAAGCCACCAAAATCATGAACGATCCTTGGTCAAGTGAGGGCCCTGAGTTGGGGATGGGACGTTTAGGCCCTGGAGAGTTGATTGGGGAGGTTGACATATTTTAATATTTTTGATATCCATGATCTATTTTTGGATCAATCTTTCTGATAGTATATGTATATGTATATGTAAATGTAAATGTAAATGTAAATGTATATGTATATGGTTATGTATATGTATATGTATATGTATATGGATATGGTTATGTATATGTATATGTATATGTTATTAAACTGGTAGCAGGAGTCTATCCACCTCCAAGGTTGTTGTGGGGCCTCCCGACCCAAGGAATACCACCTCCTGATGGTGCTACAAGTCAGTTATGCCAATGACCACCTGATCAAGCCACCCCTATGGCGCGCCCAACGTCAAAGGGCTTTTTGGTTCCACCTGCGACCCCCTGATCGATCCTGAGCCCTGTACAGCCACACATGTATATGTGCGTACCCTGCAACTGGCAATGTGACAGCTGGAACTGTGGAATTCACACTCGTAAAAAATTGTTCTTTTCTATAAAAAAAGTTGGTGTCTTCCAAGAGGCAAACTGGGATTGACGTTCAACAGCTGGGCAATGACTAAAGTTGCATCCCAAATGGGCCATCCGGATCATGTCACAGTGTGCACGTGCGGCTTTAGCGATTTGGTTCATCCACATTTGTTTCGTTCTCTTGTCTGCTCGGGCACGCAAAACCTCATCGATGTCATGTATTGTGCATCGCCCTTCATGCAGGAAACGCCGTAGAGGAGTGCAATCCATGGTTTTCGTAAGGCAATCTGCTAATTGCGCTGCTGAGTGAACCCATTTGATGACAATTCCATTTCGAAGGCGATCCTTTATGATCAGGGCTTCCAACGTCGTACGATATTCTTGACATTGAGGAACTGTGGTCTTTTGAATCAAGTCATATAGGCTTTTGCAATCCACAATGGCATATGATTCCGGACACATTGATAGGCACTTATCAGGGTCTTTCCAAAGATCACTTGGTTGACTCAACCATGACCATTGAACACGTAAGCAAGATAAAAGATCAACTGAACCACTGAGGGCATATGTTTCTGAAGCCAGCGTACTTCCTACAACTCGGGCAATCTTACGGGAGTACCACATCAATGGACTCACTTGGCTGGACTGCCATTCGCCGATTTCCTTGGAAGCAGCTAGAATCAAGCACCCCTTTTGGGACTGAGAGTTGGCACGGGTGGCGAACGAAGCGTCAGAAAAGGACACAAAACGCAAATCTTGGATTGGAATACTTTGAATCACAATTTTGGTTCCTTTATGTTGTTTAGCTTCAGTGAGGAGTCTGTTTCCATCCAAAAGATCTTTCACCTGTGCTGAGTTGATCTTGTCCTGAAGGAAGCTAAGTTTGGCCGACAAATCCGGCCGCGTGTTCGTAGCAGCATATTGGATACTACCCACCAGACCTCGTAGGGCTTGTCTTTCCTTTTCGGTAATCAGCTCTTCGGGTGTGGTGCGTCGGTTTCGATCAATGTTGATTGGTGGTATATCTTCGATATATTTCTGTTGATCCAGTTCAATTGAGCCATCCCAATTCTGATGAATATGGATTCCTGTAAACGTGAAATCATCTTGCAGCTTGCTTCCAAATGGATATCTGGTCTCCAGTTGTTGTATGGCACGATTGAACGTGTCATCTCCGGCTCCAAACCATCATCCACATGAATACCAACCAAACCGTGAATACCTGATTGGCCTTTCTTAGGCAGCACGAAGGTACAGGGATCCAGAGGAGACATCACAAAACCCAGAGACACAAGAGCATTTTTCAGCTCTTCGTACCAGAGCAATGGAGCATTGCACAGCCCATAGGCACTTTTGAGTAACTCACAGCATTCCCAGGGCTCCAGCTTCATCATCGTACGCATTTCTGCTGGAGGCTCCATTCCTAAGACTCTGCCATCCTTACGGCTACCCCTTAAGAAGGCAGTTTGGATGTCAAAACTTCGCAAACGCCATCGGGCTGAGGCGGCATACTGCATGATGAGAACTCTGGCATCACGTCCCATGGTTGGACTGTCGCGAGCCATCTCATCTAGCTGAGGATCTTCATATCCCAGGATGACTAGCCGAGCTTTAGGTTTGTGAGTAGCGGCCGAAGGATCTGTGGGATTGGGTTCAAGAGGTTGCCATGTCAACACCCATCTAGATCGCAGGATTTGTTCTGCAGGAATTTGACTTCTGGCTATTCTGCGAACGGTTTCTGCCGATAGCCATGATGAGATCTCTTTTGTTTTTGCATTTTGGAACAAAAGCTTATCACTGGGAGAAAGATCCTTCTCACGCACTTCGGAGCGTTGCCTCTTAGCGCTTGATGCAAGAAAGGCAATCTGATCGCCATATGTTTGTTCCGTGCAATGTTGGATTTCATCAACGGACAACAGAATTTCCATTTCATAACCTTTGGAGGTTTGTTCATGGCAAAGTGCAATATATTGTTCTTGAGTAGGACATTGGGTGGTATGTTGTTCCAGGATGGTAAAAATGGTCTTTCCAGTCCAAAGTGTTGGTAAAGGTAAGTGAGCTTGAATGTTGTTTCTCCAAACATCTTCATGTTTCCAAGGATACCCCTGCTCCGTCGTTACCTGTGTTTGGCGATCATCGGAAAGCCATTTGCAAGGAACTGGGCAGTTGGCACAACTTGTTGGAAAAAATGGCCTTACTCGAGGAGTCTTATGAACACGAATCAGTTGTCTTCCTTGGATTACCCAATGGTCTCCAGTTTCTAGTTGTGGACTCATGTTGTCACTCATCAGGGAGTCTTCGCTTCCTGAGGACTCCGTTTCAGGCACTGGAACTTCGATCGGGTTCGGCTCAGTGGGAACTGTCTGTTCTCCGCTGTTGGGAGACATCTCAGGCGAGGCATGAGTGCTGGCAGCATCAGGCTCGGCATCAGGCTGTGTCGTGGTGTCGGCTTGTTGGGGGATCATTCAACAGTGGCATTGCTGGCAAAGTGTTATTGGATTGAGGGATTGGACTATTATCAGTTTGGGTTATCGTGGGGTTCGAGTGAATGGGGTTGAGATTATGTTGGTTCTCACTGGGACTCGTTGCATTCTGGTTGGGTGACATAGTGGTCAGTGGGACCAAGTCATGATACTGAAACACGCCTGTTCCAAGATGGCTGGCACTTCCGGTGGGTTTGGGAAACGGTCCCAATTCTGCGGACTGGGAGGCTTGCACATTCTCAGACTCTCGGCTGGAGAGAGGGCGCACATGTTCTGGGGCACATCGGTAAAGGCGACTCAAATGAGTTAGCCACATCACGTTTTCCCCTTCACATAGAACAACTCGGGCTGGTCCATGCCACCCCCCGGCTAGTGCCCCTTTTCCTTCCCTCCAGTACATAACCCAGGCCCCTATCTCATATTGTGGTCTACTGGGACGATTTCGACGCAACAGAGATCGTCGAAGTTTGAGGTCATGATCGGTTTTGATGAAGGCAACACGGGCATTTTCCCTCCATCGGAGGTTTTGGAGGAACATTTTGACCTCTAGGGTTTGGCTACTCTCCGGCAAGTCCAAAGTATGATCCGCAAGCATGTCGGCAGGTCCAGGCTCCTCATTCATATTGCTGGCAGGGACATGTCTACTCTTACCAAGAACCAGGATCTCAGGGCTATATCCACGGTATCTCGACAGGCTGTTTTTGGCTGCACAGCAATGTTGGAGGGCCATCTCGAATTCATCATCGCTGCTGATAGGCTGGTCTTGTTGATATTTATCCAGCATGGTTTGCAAAATTGCACCATGTCTTTCGCATCGACCCAACTGCCAATGCGCCTCAGCAGCCACAGTGTGTCCCTTAGTGTCCATGCTCTGTAGGTACTTGCTGAATTCCTCACTACAGAACTCCCCTGCACTATCGGTGATCAACTCCTTTGGTGGACCGGCCCAACTAACCCAATATTTATTGATTAACAATGACAATTGGATTGATGTTGGTCTGTGCATGCATGGGAAGGCAATCTGAAAATTGGTGCCAGCATCTACCATATGATAGAACATGAAATCTTGTCCTTGATTATTGGTCCATGTAACAGCATCCATGGAGACAACATCATTGAAACCCCTGGGCGTGCTAAGATGGCTGGGACGTGCGAGTCGTGGCCTCTGTCTTTCATGGCATGATGGGCAGTGCATGTCGCGGATGCCATCAATGGCCTCCTGTGGCCAGCCCTGTTCTCTCAGGACATTTCCTAACACGGTGGAGTCGGGATGTCCTAGATTGTTGTGCATTCGGGTTAATTGTTGTCTCTCTTCGGAATTCAGGGACATGAATCTGGGTCCATGTTGAAACCCTTTGGAAGGCTCAGGATCTGTTATCATATTCGGGTTATTGGTCTCCTGTTTGGGGTTCATGGTTGTGGTCATGTCGTGAACTTCCTCTGGAGAGCCATTGTTTGGTGTCCGCTCTGCTACTGCCGGAACAGGTATTGGAGCTTCGTCCATCCCCGGGCGATTGCATTGGCGCTTGGCAGATCCATCAGGCTCTTCGCCAGCTGATGCAGGGCATTGGCTTGGCGAACTTGGTGCATATGGTCGACTTGCAAACATGGTCACAATCAGTCTGGCAGGAACCCCTTTTCGGAGAAGTTGATTACGTTTGAGGTTACCCCATTCTTCCCAAGCTTCTTCACAAAAGTTACCTTGGCCATCCCTTCTTATCCCCATAGTCATTCTTAGAGGACATTGGCTTCAGGTTACATTTGGTGGAGGGCTTCTGTACCGGTCTGCACCCTTGCATAACTCAATCCATTGAATCCGACATTCTGGAAACATGGTCTGGGCTTGTCGGAGTAAGTCCCCGTTGGAAAGGAACCGTTTTCCTACTCTGGGTGCATGATCGATGGCAACTTTGAGAAACTGGTCAACACGTTGATTCCAAACTTCTTGATTTTGATATGCCTCAGTTGGGGGCTGTTTGTGACTGAGCTTTCTTCTTTTGGAATCGGTTACCTCAGCTGGCTTCTCGGCATCTCGGATGGTGAGGGAGAATTCCTCAGCAGAGCGCTCTTGAACACGGATGCTACATCGCATGCAGCGGGCAATCTTCATGGCAAACGTACGGGTATACAGTTCAGTATACTGAGAAATGTTCACCCGATTCCCTCCGGTGTTTCGGAAAGAACCCTCAACATGGTCATGGTCATGAGTCTTATCACATCGCAAGCTATCGACATATCGATGCATGATTTGAGAAGTGGTCACTATTTGGGTTCCCTTTTGCAGATGATTTCCGGTCATGGGGTGTTTGAGATTACCGGCTGTACACATATCACAACGAGCATGCCATGTGTTTGCCATGATCGTCTCCAGTTCTTCCTGGAACAGCATCTGTGATCCTACCGGTCGCTCCAAGTGTGCATGGCAAGATGGATGCCGGTGTCGCTGAAACTCAAAAATGGCATCGCACAACATCAGGTGTACTTGGTCTTCTTCACGGTCCAACATGATCCTTCTGGCAAGTTCGGGAGTCTTGTGACGATTGAATTCATTCCAACGGCACCAGGCTTTGCACTTTGGAGACAACCACACATGTTTCGGACGCAATCTGAGCAGCCTCTCATAGAGTCATAGAGGCGGAATCGCCCCGGCTGGGACTTCAAGTCACCGTCCTGCAAACTGTGACGTTCAGCCCACAATCCTTGTGCTCTGGCCTGTTGGGTCAGTTGACTTTCGGGACTGCAGTAAATTTCAAAAACATCGGCACGGTGCGTCTTCAACAAAGGAGATTCAGGCAGAACTCCCTTTGAGGCAAAATACTGCCACATTTCTTTGGCTATCCAGTTAGTAGTTCGACTGTAAAAGATGTTTTCCCTCACATCATGTTGATCAATCACGGGATCTAGAGGATTGTCATTGGAGAGTTGTTGCCATGTTCCACACAGGTCAGTCAAAAGCAAGGGTTGGACAGGCATGAGAGTTTCATCAGGCTCAGACTGAATTACTGTGGTTCGCCGGCTGGCCCCTTCAGATGAGCAAGAACCTGCTGCATCACATTCTCGATCTCGAGCATACGGCGCTGCATGTGTAGGAGTTCCAGAGTGTTCTCCTCTGGCACTTGATCCCATTCTCCGGGTTCCGACTCCAGGTCGACGGGCATCGTGCTGGCTAGAGCCTTGGGGCAGGCTTTGGCCTTCGGCCGGGTGGTGGCACTGATCTCCTGATTGTTCTTCTCCAGATTTTCTACATGCAGCTGAATGAATCGAAGGAACTTGACCGGCTCTCCTTGTAAGTCTCCGCAAACCACGTCATGTAGCGGTGCTCGGTCACCATGGAAGCATAAGTCTTCCCGCAGTGAGCTTTGCCAAACTTGATGGTCTCGTTCTCGAGCTCGGCAAGTGTCATGGACATGATCTGTGGGAGACTCTCGGAATCCCTTTCGGACAGAGACAGACGGCGGAGACGATCGGCCAACTGGTCGAACTGGTGATTCACAGGACTCTGTGACATGGCTGACAACGGAATGACAATCGACGGGTTGTTGGCAGGCAGGACTGAGCCGATCTTGCTGTTGAACGGCTGGCTTCATCAAACACGGATGCTCTGCCGGATGAACTGTACATATTGGATCTTCGGATTCAATTGGCTGAGACACATCGATGGACCTGGACACCTCATCTACCTCAACACTACTGCTCTTATCGGAACTGGCAGCATAGAGCGTTTGCTCTCTTTTGGCGGGATCACGTGTCTGCAAAAGGTCAAGAAGGTCCAGCCTGTACAATTTTCGATCAGTGATCTCAATGGGCACGGTGCGGCCCAGTGCTTTGAAAAAGATCTGATTCAGACCTGTATCGATGACAGCTCCAAGTGATCTAAAAACACTGTTGGCAATGAGAAAAGGAGTATTGGATGGGACAATCACCACCTTGATCCATCTGTCACCTACTGGAAAGAAAACTGATCGTTTACCCATCACAGAGCTATCATTCCCAAAACGGAAATTAATGGCACATGGGGCTTCTTTCATGGACTGCAGTACACTCTTTGGCAACATTTGACAAAGGTCGGTGAATTGGCTCTGTCCTATCACTGACATGCTTGCCCCAAGATCCACTATCCCGTATGTTCCCTGTGAGACAAAGTTGATACTTTCCTCCGACAACTGCACCCTCACGGTGGCTAGTTCATGGTTTTTGCTCAGGGGGTCGCAAGTTGAAACCGATTTCTCACTTTCCTGTCGACTCCTGCACATGTATGGAAGGCGGGCAAGAAAGGCTGGCTTGCATTTGGACAACACCCTATTTAACTCATGAGCATGATATGCCCTATGATCATGTTGTGGACCCTTTACATGGCATGCGGCAGTCATGAGGCATGTCTCCTCCATCATGAAAGCAGTGACTTCCGGTGGAGGTGCATCAACATCTTCAGGTGCATGGTCATATGGCGGCGGCTGAGCCATGGTGGAAAACACTGTCATACCGGCGAATGCCGTGTTGTTGGTTCCAGGAGCATTGGACTTTGTCCTTTGTGTACATTCGGCTTTCCAATGTCCAGGTTGATTGCAAAGCCTACACGTCGATTCCAGGATTCTCTGTGCTAGTGGCTTTCGGAATCGGTTCTTGAAACCACCTTTGAATTTCCCTTTTGATTTCCCTTTTGAACCCTTGTTTCCAAAGAACCCACGGGCTTTCACCTTTTCGTGACTCTTTTCCGCGCTTCCACATAGCTATTGAGACATGTTGCAACTTCTGGGTCATTCTGCAACGAGTCCACTAAGGCCTCTTCGAACTGGGAAATGATGAGTGCATCCTCGTCCCCTTCTGACAGAAGGGTCTCCAAACCAGCATCCTCAGACTGATCCAGAGAGACAAATGCCGTTTCATCCATCTCTTCATATTCACGATCACCATCATCGACATGGAAAACATCATAAGTTTTGGTTCGGGTGTTGTTGCGTGTCCCACCCGACTGCACTTCGGCAAAAAACTTGGATCCAAGCAGTTGCAGAGAGTCTACGACCTTCTTGTACTCGAGATTACCCTGTGCATCTATGATGATCTTCTTTTTGTCTTCAGCCAACAGTCCTGAGTTACGAACCAAGACATAGGCTCGCATCTCCTCCAGAGTTGTGCCCATGTTGACCAACTCCTCGAACTGTATCTCATGACGAGCCAGGTAGCTCGAATGCGTTTCATCGCTCTTCTGGACTGTTCCATAAAGAGCCCTCTCAAAACGTTCATGCTTGGTCTCCAGTTTCGATTGGCCCCATACCCCTCCAAGGGTCTGCACGACCAGCTTGATGCCGTCAATGGTTTGAACCTTCAACTTCGTAGGGTCCAGTCTGACGACTTTCTGGAATGCAGTTCCTTCACAAAGGAGGCATGCTCTGGGTGCCAATTGCGCTAAGTGCTCAACTGGCCAAATGTTGGCCAAGAATTCCAGTCGACGTGTGTAGTCGTTGATGTCGGTATCGCCAGGTTTGAACGGCGGGATCAGATGCCAAGGCAGCTGATTGCCACCTGTCTGGCCACCTGCTGCAGGGTGTTGGCTATCCCCCGCACTTCCATCCATCCCCGGATCTCACTCACTTCCGCTGCTTCTTATCCTCCTCCAGCTCCGCGAAGTAGCGGTGAGCCGCAGCTCCGCTACCAGCATTAAACTGGTAGCAGGAGTCTATCCACCTCCAAGGTTGTTGTGGGGCCTCCCGACCCAAGGAATACCACCTCCTGATGGTGCTACAAGTCAGTTATGCCAATGACCACCTGATCAAGCCACCCCTATGGCGCGCCCAACGTCAAAGGGCTTTTTGGTTCCACCTGCGACCCCCTGATCGATCCTGAGCCCTGTACAGCCACACATGTATATGTGCGTACCCTGCAACTGGCAATGTGACAGCTGGAACTGTGGAATTCACAATATGTATATGTATATGTGTATGTATATGTATATGTATATGTATGTGTATATGTATATGGTTATGTATATGTATATGTATATGTATATGGCTATGTATATGTATATGTATATGTATATGTAAAAGACATGTTTTTAAATAATTTTCGAACATTTTTCATGAACATATGCTACAAAACAACTTTTTTTTTGCCGAGCGAAGGTGCGATCTCCGACTGTTTCCAACCGTTTCCCCTTGGACACCTTTGGACCTTCAAAAAAAAAAACTGCGTTGTGCGGAAATGTTTTTTTTTAGACATGCGGGTTGGACAAGTTTTGGCCTGAACATGTTTCCGACCGTTGCCGACCGTTTCCGACCGTTTCCGACCGTTTCATTTTTTCTGAACGCTTAATTGGACCACTTCCATTTATGGAAGGCTGATCCAGAGCAAACCCGTGCAAACCATGATGCTTAAGTTTTTTCGTGCGACCCTTGTGCGCGTACACTGCACCAAATATTGCATCTTGACCTTGATATCCAATATTCCCTAAAAATCACAAAACCCCAGGAACTTGTGAAATTTAATATGTATATGTATATGTAACTATATGTATATGTATATGTATATGTATATGTATATGTATATGTATATGGATATGGTTATGGTTATGGTTATGTATATGTATATGTATATGTATATGAATATGAATATGATACTGTTTTTGGTGGCTTTGCTCAAGGTCAAGAAACATGTTTCCATGGATCATGAACAATTGCAATTTTGGACAGGTAGTTGCTTACGGTCTGGACTGGATCCGTGAGCTTGTGTTGACTCAGCCGTTTTTAGTCAAAAACTCTGATGATTACTAGGTTTACCATGGTTTACCATGGTTTACCAGCAAACTGAGGAGAAACTGGAGAAGCACTTCATCTTCAACTTCTCTGATGACGCCCAAGTGGCACCCATGATTTGGGGCGGCTACGCCAGCGATGGGTGCATCGTAGGGATTATCAGCGGTCGAGTGTGGACTTGAGGCAAGAGAGTAGAGGCAACTCTTTTGGGGTCTATCTGAGTCTATCAACAAAAAAGGCATTTTGCCAACAAAACACAGGTGCACTGCAAGACTAAAAAAAATTCAGGTGGCTGAGTCACCCTTCGAGATTCTTGATCAGAGAGAACTCCAGACATTGCAAAACAAGTGCAGATGGTGAAACTGCACAAATGGAACTGGGGAAATCTCAGCGCCTTCGGCTATCGATTCTGATGCGTTCTCCACCAATTGATTCGCTGGCGAAAAGGGGCCGGATCTCCTGGGCTCTGTCATAGTGCAGTATGTCTTGCCAATGATTGCTGTAACCTTCCGATACCATGGTATCTGGATAGCCCTAGCTGCAACCTTGCTGGTGATCTCTAGTGTCGTGCCTCGATGCCAGGGCAAGGGGAAGTTTGATGATGGAGAGGCAATATGTGGCATTCAGGGTCAATTCTCAATGGATGGTGTGTCCATCCGACCATGTCGGGATTGCTTGAGAAAATCGGCCAGGGCCGTGTGTCTGATGGCTTGATCTTGAGCAATGTACCAGCTGAGGCGACACGCTGTGACTTGTGAGTGCATCAAACCGAGATTACCCGACAAAAATGTTGGGATTTTCATGGCAACTTTGATGGGGACTGACGGTGGGATGTTGGAGCACCCTATTTACAGACAAACCCATATCATTTTTAAAAACCATATGGAAGATATGAACAGTTCCAGCGCTTGCCTGAGAACGCAACGAAACCAGAGGCTATTGCAGTATTGTCGAGGTAGCAACGCTAGTGTTCAAACGGACAGGGAGTTTTTTTTTGTTTTGAACGGGTGCTACTTTCATATCTTGGAGATGGGTTTTTGAAACTACAGAACACATCAGAACACATCAGATTTTGGGATGAACATTTATTTTTTATATAGTGTATATTATATATATATATATCCAGGGGTTTTATGAATATATATATATATATAATCAATCTCAGATTTTTCATGGTGTCCAGCGTCAAAACGACTCAGTCGCTGGAGGTGAACACGCTGGATGCTTTGAATCGCCACTTCCGACACTTCGGTGAGGCGCGCCCCGTCACACTGCAGCATGTGGCAGCAAAGGCTCAAGCAGTGTGTCAGGATCAATGACTCTATATTTGAATATTTTTGATACAATCATGTATGTATCTACATTGTAATTAGTAGATTATTATATAGTAAATTATATAGTAACAATATATGTATATATATATAAGTATACACAATATTGGACGATACGAGTAACGGCAACACTGATAATGATAACGAAAATAGCAACAGCACAAATAATAACAATAACAATAACACCAACAATAGCAAACATAGCAGTAATAATGGCAATAGCAATACCAATACCAATATAACAAGAACAATCAGAATAACAACACAAATGACAATCATGATATATCAAAGCTAATACTGTAATGATGATAGTTATAAAACATGATACGGCTAGCAATAATGACAAGAATAATAATGTTGTACATGATATGATCCTTGATATGATAGTGAATCATCGCAATTATCCCAATCATCATGAGAAATCATGAGAAACCATAAGAGATCATGATAAATCATGAATCATAATACATCTTTGAACCGATCTGGGCCTTTGAAAAAATGACCCCCAGGTGCTAAAGATCACCTCCCAAGTGAACGAGGTGAAGCTGCAGGGCAGCTTTTTTTGTCAGCTGCGAAGAGGAGAGATGCAAATCACTGAATTATGGTTGTTGATTATTGATGAAAATTCAGAATTTCCTGGTCATCTGGAGTTATCTGACTATTTCAGTTCAAACGCATCAAACTGATGTCCATTGTTTGAAGATGGTGTGCTGAACGCTAGTTCTTGAGTATTCTGGACAGATTTTTTCATCACTTTGAATATTTTTTGAAGCATGACATGCAGATGATTCACTGGATTGGTTTGAGGAATCCCTTGATTCACTATTACCCACTACAGTTTATTATTCTAGACTTGATGAGAAAAACATAGAAAAACTATATTATGATAGATTACCCATGTTTTTCTTTTTAATTACCATCAATTATTACTGTCTATCCATGTTTCCTACGGGATGTTCCTCCAACAATCCCGTAAGTGCTGCTTCTGGCTGCGAGGGCAAGGCCTATGTGCAGTTTGCCAGCAAGGCTTCGGCGGAGGCGCCGAAAAATCGGGTGAAAAATGAAGCCAAAGTTGGATTTATTGGCATTATTTGGCAATAATCAACTAATAATCAACTAATAATCAACTTTGGTTAATCAACTAATCAACTAGCCATTAATCAACTAATTAAGTGTTTGGTTATACGCAGAAATCAACTGGTTAAACAACTAAAAATCAACTAATCAACTAATAATCAACTAATCATTGGATTAATTGGAAAAATTGTATTAATCAACTAACTAATCATTAATAATCGACTTAGCTGACTCTGCGAAAACTTCATGAACTGGCATGACATGTGATGAAACTTCCATCGATTGCTATCGAATCAACCAGCAAATTTATGGGAAATCTATGGGAAATGGCCCATTGATAGATGATTAAAATGATGATCTACCTATAATGGGGACATCAACCACATCAACCACTCAGCTTCCAGGCTGCTGCGAGTGTGCCTGTGCTGGACCGTCCAGAGATCACGGTGGCTGGGGGCACAGTATCCCACAGATTTTGGGACTGCGGCCTGCTGCGGAGTCATTTGAAGACAAGTGGATGTTGGCTTGGATTGTATATGATTATCAACCATGTGCAGAATATGATGTATATGGATTGTAATTATATGGCTTATGTTCGGCGGTTTTAGTATTTTTTCGACTTTGGGGTACAGCCTACAAAAATCATGGGTGAACCGACATACGGAGGAGTTGTTAGTTCTGGGGGTCAGCGAGTCAAAATTATTGTTCCAAAACAATTTATGGTGTAATTTTGCGGGCGCGTTGGTGCCCCCATTCTTGACCCATACCAAATCTAGCTGAGTTTTTAAACGTTTTGTTGTGATATGTCAGATTTTTCCTCTCATTATTTGACAGATGCCTTTGCTTGCATCTTTGGATGCTTTACATCGGCATGGCTTGGAATTTGGCTTCAAAGATCGCCAATTTGCGTGGCGTCAAGTGGTGTTTCTCGGGTGACCTACCACGCCAGTGGTTGTTTCGCCGGACATCCACGCCATGGGGCTCACAGGATCTCATTTGCGCTTCCAGGCGAAAAATTGGGCTGGAGCTTTGCTGACAAGTTAGAGACACATAGTAGGACCCCTACTATCAGTTAACCCTGAAAGAACATGATTGAGATAGATTTAGCTGTTCATGTTGCAGTCCCATGCAGTTTTTTCTTTACGACCAGAAATGGAAGATAAGTTGACCTTGACCCACGTGACATCTGCAGGATGTAAGCCCATGGACGAGCGAGATCATCGAAGCTCGGCGAATGTACCAATGGGCATGCAAGATGCATCATTTTTAGCATTCAAGCATTCATTTATCAGAGGATAATATTATGCATATGACCATCACATATATATATATACATATATACATATTTCTATGTGTATATTATAGTATCTGATATTCTAGTATATGTATTATACACATATACAATAATATATGTGTGTATAATACATATGTATGTATTTGTATTATGTACATACAGTATACATATATATATATATAAATAAATAAATAAATAATTTTGACCCATGAACACCACTGTGGAATCTTGGTGCACTCCTAAGTCAGCTTCAAGGTGAAGAACCAGATGCAGACGCCAGCATTGATCTTGGAAGCCAAACACCATCACCGACCTTCCCCGGAGAAGGAGAAAGGGGAGATCGGGGAGATTCCATTGGAAAAACATGGAAAACAACGGTGGTTAAATGATGGTTACATAATGTGGTAAACCCCAAGAATAAACCATCTGTGAAATCACCATTAAGGGGCCGCGCAAGGTTTATTGGGTTTAACCACATTAGATTGTTAGATGATGGGAAAACTTTGATTCTTGGGGTCTCAGACTTTTTGACAACTCGAAAAGTGCTTCAAAAGTGAGCCCCCATTCTTTGAAGGGATTCATGGACAATCCGGCATCGTCAATGAGATGCGTGGTGGCTGCACATGCAGGTTGTTGAGCATAGGGTGCTTCCGGGTGAACACGTCATTGTGCTGCTGGGCGGCAATGGTCACCCATGATCACCCATGGTCACCCATGATCCGCTTCACATGTGACACATTCGGGTGGTGTTTACAAGGGCAGAGCATCAACGAAACAAACAGTCCATGTTTTTGCTTTGAACACAAAAAACACAGCAACCTTTCAGGGTCTTGCAAGATCGGTTTTTTGCGATACTTTACGGGGGAAAAATGATGATTAACAATTTTTTTGGCGTTTTCCCCATGAATTTGATAACCACAGAATGAATGGCTCAAGGTCAGGCCGTCTGCAAGAGCCACGTGCCACATTCTACATCCGCACAGGTGGGGTCACCGGTGACCCAAGTGTTGGGGTAGCCTTAGTCGACCCACACAACTTATAGGATTTATATGGATTTATAGGCTATTTGAGGCATATTGCCATATTTATCAATCACAATCCATGTTGAGGGTTGATGATTTTGACCCATTTTGATGGAACCATCCAAGAAAAGGGCCTTGGAGCTCGAAAGACCAAACTCAGTGGAAATCTGGGAGGGTGTTGCCAGTGAGCACAACTACTTGTATGTTCCCCGAGGTTCCCTTGCTTTGTCTGACATGTTTACAGTCATCTAAACATATCATATGGGCTTGTAGAAATTGCACCTCACTTCATCACAACTAAGCTTTCAAGTCCCCTGGAACTTGATGGAACTTGACAAAACCTTTTCAGCTCAGTTACAAGTGGTTTTTTTCACCAACCAGCAAGATGTAACATCCACTGGGCGAAGGCCAAGCGTCGGCAATGGAGGTGAAGGCGCCTCACTTGGCACGGTTGGTGATCACCAATGACCCCCATGGCCTTCGCGTGGAGTCCCAAGACGAGGACGGACGACTCTGACAGACTGATGGATGGTGATTATGTAAGAGGAACCAACGGGAACCAACCTTAAAACGGGAACTGCTTGTAGAATTCAGGGTGTATGGAGAAGTATGGTCATTGACAGAGATTGTGTATAGTGTATGGGTTGAGAAGAGGATTTTTTCGGGAATTCGAGTTTTTTTTCCCCCTACGCAAAGTAGATCCACCGGTCACCACTTTTGGGCATTGATCACGTCGGAGTGTTTTCTGGTACTCAGCTGTGCAGGAGGTGAGTATCTCAGACCTTGAGAAGGATGTTGCAATGATGATTCCGGGCAGTGACACGGTGCCAATGTTACTGCGCAATGAGCATTTCAAGGACGGTGAAACATGTGAAACATGTGAAACATGTGAAACATGTGAAACGGGTGTGGTTGAAATCCGCTGAGTGACTTTCAAAATTGAAGGTGCTCAGGAAAAAGAGTTCTACTTCTGAGGTGAGCCAAGTTGCCAAAGATAGGTAAAATATGGTAAAATGGGTGATCTTTACCCTCCAGCCCAAAACCACTTAATTTAATGGTTTTTGAACCTACAGCTGTCTTGCAGAGTTTCTCGCGGACAACTTCAGTTTGTTTGAGGAAGTGGCTACTGGGGTAGTCACTTTATGGGTACGTGTCTGAATATCTAAGAATGTGGCCTCCTCACAAATCTTAATTCTTTTCAGTCTTTTAAACAAAGTCAACACCACACCATTCCAGAGGGTGCCGAATTCTCACCCCTTTTTCTTCCACTGTGCAGGATGTTCGCCCGAAAAGCGAGCGCTTCGCTGTGGGCGGAGCATGATGATGGATGCTGAGCCGTCCCGCATCCGCACAGAGCTCATTCGGTAGGACTTTTGCGTGGCCTGTGGGGCCAACTCCATTTGACGAAGTGACTTGGAATTTAGACTTCATGCTTCTTTGTCAGCGATCCAAAATGTCACGAATTGTTCATTTATTTTGGATGAGCATATGAGCACAATTGAGCACATATCAAATTTTGTTTCATGTCTAGCCATGTCTAGCCTATCGCTTGAAAGGACCCTCTTGAGCCTAGAGACAAAGAGCATGATGCACGGTGCTCCCCTGCGGGCCCGTTTGCAGTTGACTGACTGATTTTGTCGATGCCATCGCGGCATCGGCGCAACTGTACAGGGTGTGGAGCTGAGTCAAACTCGACGCATCTCGACACAGTGCCACGATTGGATCATGGCTGGACCAATTAAGAACTCCACTCACAGTTGTGGATTCAACCCCGACATGCGCAGAGAATAAGCAGCTCACAAGTGCCGTGAAAGCCGCATTTCAACGCCTGGAACACTGACCTCTGAAAGAGTATGTATAGTCACTGTGGAGCCTTCAGAGTTTATCGAGGAGAATGATGGTGACCGATGGTGAGCAGGATTTCCAGCGGTCGCAGGTGGCACAAAGTCGGCTCAATTGCAGACAAGCAGACCAGTAGAAATGATGTTCTTTCACCGTACTTGCAAACAACATTGTAAAACCATGTAAAACCAAACCTCATTCGTCTTGCGCAGAATCTTAATTTGGACCTGACCTGGATGAACAAGGTATTCCTTTCCATTCTTAAAACTTCAAGCGAAAGCAACAATTTTCACGAGAACCACTTTCACTTGCTCAGTTCAGTTATTTGCCTCTTGCATCATTTTAACCGTTAGATCACTCCAAACACGATCTGTCTAAACTTCAACCGTTTCAACGTTTTTCAGTGCCTTTTCAGTGACCTTTGTCCAACTTCATAGTTCCGACAGCCCTCGATCCAGCCTGGCGATCGCCGAATCCATGACGGAGGAGACGAAAGAGATGGTGTCGATTTGTTACATCACCGGTGAGGGCGGCACCTTGGCATCTCCGAGACTGTGTCTGCATCTACACCGCAACGAGGCTGTAGTGTCCCGCGTAGCCCAGCAGCTGTTGGACCATTGCTTGGAGAAGGTGCCGGATGCTCCGGCCAGGAAAGAGGTGGGGAAGGGCTCAAAGTTCTTCGATTTCCAGTAGGATAATTATTTATAAGATTTTATAAGATGTTATAAGTCTATATTATAGTCATTTATAGTCTATATTTGTCTCTATGGTTTGAATATGTTTCAATACCCCAAAACTGTCCGACGATAAAAGGTGGTTATTTAATATAGAGACATTGAAAGACTGAAAAGGACCTATTTTGTGCTTGTGAAATATGGTTATATAGTTATATAGTTATATAGTTATATAGTTATATAATATAAATACCACAGATGACGTCAAATCAATGTGTTGGTCAATTGGTGCCCCATTTGGAAAACCAGGTGCCACGAGAAGATGTGAAGCACGGCGAGCTTTTGCAAGAGCTCCACAGCCGTGGCTACTTCCTGGATGCCGACATCACGGCCTATGGCAGGTTGGAAGCTGGAGACCTCGGAGCTGGCGATGCTGGCGATGCTGGCGATGCTGGCGATGGCGATGGCACCGTGGGGCCGATCGAAGCCATTGGACTCAGTTCCAACCTGAAAACCAGGGACAGGGCCTTTGCCCTGGCGATGAGCCTGGCCATCCTCCTCAGACTCGAACCTGGAACTGCGAACATGATCTGCAACAACTTTGGTGTCGGGGAGCTGCTACACCAGGCCTGTAGCTGATTTCCCTCAGTATACTTATGTTTTCCTCTTGTTCCGCCGTCCCATTTGTTCTTTGTTGGTTTCTCTTTCTGTTCTGCTTCTCCCTTTCCTATTTCCTATCCTGCATCTTGCTGGTCTTCTTCGTTGCCCGCGCTAAAAACCATGCTTTCCGGTGTCAATTTTTGATTCGCCAATCTGATGATCCAGTAAATCCATGAAATCCCAAGAAATCCTGCCCAATCCCGTGAACTGCCAGGCGCGGCAGCAACGTGGCCTATGGACGGTGAAGACCAAGCTGCCCACGGACGAAGAGATCTTTCGCTTCCAAATGGCATTGACCACCTGGCCACGTGGCAATCCCAGTAGATTTCTTCGCTTCGAGCAGCTGGAAGAAGTCTAAGAGATGGGTTTGGTATCTGAAAATGTGCGGAAACCGGGGAAAAACCTGCAAATCTGGAAATGGGTGGGAAACATGGGAAAACCCTAGAACCCCAAAGTTTAGAAAACGCTGTTCAAGCATTTTCACCATGAAAATCCAGCCAGTTTGTTGCATCCCGGCATTTTTGGACAAACCCATATGCGGCAGTTTAGAGATCCACACACTACATGGACTTGAGAGATTTTAGTGAATTTGTTCGCACCTTCAAAGCCAAAGTTGCCGAAGGGAGCCAAACTAGCCAGTTGCAACTTGCACTTGCAACAGCGTGCTCACACGCCAATGACGAAATGAGCGCATGAGAAAAACCAGCTCTGCTAAAGTGCATTTTTAGATGCGAAACTTGGAAATTTCAGAATAGACACCCATTCAGGGTATGGGTTTTTATTGGGTTCACGACATTATAGTGTCTTGCAAAACTCTGGCATTTGCTTCGTGTTTCCTCGATGGTGATCTTCCCGGACCATTAAAAAAAAGGTTTCTCAGGTCTTTGGGGGCACATGGGAAACCATGCTGGATGACAAAGCGTAAGGCCTGGCTGTTGCGGCCAAAGGGCAAGGCACAGGGGTGTTTTTTAACTTCCGGCCAGGGTTCACCAGATGGAGAATTAATAGAATTAACACCTGATAAACTTGGTATGGAACTTTTCTAAGTGCACTTGGGTGTGGTTGTTGCCAACTCACAGTCCTTGCGCTTTTGCGTGGAAAACAACTGGTGGATTTCTTTGTTGGGATTGGACTCGCAGTTCTTGAAGTTCTGTAGGTTTTTTTTTCCAAGAACAAGTCCTACATACCTTGTAGCTATATTTCTGTATGGTCATAAAAAAATACAATTTTTCTACATTTTTCTACATACCTAAGTATGACTTTTACAATGTTAGCTATTTTAGTATGGTCATAGCACTTTTAGATGTTGGACCAGGGTGGCCCAAGACACCAATCGACCGTCGGAGCCAGGGCAGCGGCAAAGGCAAGTCAGATGGTAGGCGCGGGGCAAGCGATGCATTGGTTTTGGTTGGTTTTGGTATACTGTACTGAGGTAAACCCAATTATACATACCATCCCCACTGGAGGTTTATGAAATTGGCATTTATTGGCTATGGCTATACCTCTTTAATGATGATTGATCGGAGCAGTTCAGTCACGAACTCAAGGTTGTGTGTGTGCGCACAGCCAGGCCTGCCGAGAATCGAATCCTCTGCACTGATCCTGAGGCATGTCGAATCAGTGGATTCTGACGGGAGTCATGTTTTCGGAGTCAGCTGGATTTCCGAAGCTTGGAAACTAGGCCACAGCAGGTTGAGAAGATGGTTCCAGCTCATCCTTTTAGTTCATTGACCTCAGCAGCCTTGATCACCCAGGAGCAGCGCAAGATTGAGGACATGAAGATCAAACGTGAAGAAGTGGCGTGAGAAACTTGGAAGGTGGAAAACGGAAGACAAGACCACTCGGTGAACCTTGCCGTTTGATATGATTGGATCAAGTGGTGTATTCACACTTTTTGTTGACAAGGCATGTCAACGTCTCCGAATGAGGGTATTTGTAAAGCATCCAGAATACAGGAATGCACTACCATTGAAATTTCCTTTGAGAATCAAATGGCGATCAGCAAGTCTGAGACCCTATTTTGACAGATGATGGCTGACATCCTCGGAAAAATGCATGTAATCCCATGCTCCACAACCTTAAGGACCCTTTTCAGGGACGCCAAATTGAATCCATGGTTCCTGTCCGGGATGTCTATAGAATGCTATAGATATCTCATATTGGGGGGGGGAAGGGTTCATCATGGTCCCAGGTCAAGGAAAACCGCACTGCTGGCCAATCTCACCAATCAGATCAAGGTGAGGACTGGTGAGGTTGAGCGACCGGGATGACAGGGGCTGTGGTGGAGAACGTCATTTTCAGGTTCCCCTTGGTGTATGCTATGGACCTGTTGGGGATTTAGATGGACTTGAGTATCCACAGTTATATGTTTGGTAATGTTACCCAAGGATTGCGACTCATCAGCCCCGGCGTCAGCATGACAAGATATACAAGATGAAAATCAAAAGTGATACTGGGATTTAATCAAACCAATACAAACAACTATAGAACTATGGGTGGTGGTTTCAAACATTTATGTTCAACCCATTTCAACCCTATTTGGGATGATCAGCGCCCACAGAGTTTCTGTGTCCGTTGAACGATCGACGTGTCCGCAGGCCATCATGGCCAAGATCAGCGATGCCAGCGTTTCTGAGGCGCAGGATGCACTGTAAGTTTCCACCCGCCATTCGTGTAGCTACTGGTGGTACCACGGTGGTACCACGGTGAAGTTATGGCTGGTTTATGGCTGAAAAAAAAGTGGGAGATTTTCTCATTTTGGGAGCCGTTCTCGGACATCTCGCTTGGCCTGCTAGGCCAAGCGTGAGACGCTGCGGACGCTGCTTTTGGGGCTGAAGGCTGGTTGACAGCATATTGACAGGACGTCATAGCAGCTGATGGGTAAGATGCCAGGATGGTTCTTGAGTCATAGATGTCATAGACAGTCATAGATGTATAATATATATGTATATATATAATATAATATGTATATGATATATATATATCTATAATCTATATGTATATATAACATATTGACGTGCACTGTACAGAGTTCTTGAGGAAAAGCTCGATTTGCTGGGAGCCTCAGAGGATGGAGCAGGATGTCGTCAAGTTCCATATGTCCGGTTTATCATCATTGTCCCATATGCCCACCGGGCCATAGAGAAACTCCACATTTCTTAGACATTTTCCGTAGGGTCATACAGTTATACAGAGTTATAGACCATGTGGACCACCCAAAAAGGTTACAGCAGTTGAGCCGAGTGTGAATGTCGTAAGGTTGAGCGGCCCAAAGCAAGACACCAGGACTGGAGTGGCCCCAATGTTGCCTCAAAGCCACATTTCTCCCTAGAATTCATCAGCAATCCTCTCAGTTGCATTGTGATCCTGTTTTAGGGAGCAAATGAAGGAAACGACAGTGTTGAAGCGCCTCAAATTCCACATTGGCATACTCATACATCGTCGAGATGGCCGTGGCAGGATGCTGGGCCCTCCAAGGCCAGGGCTTTGCACATTGGTGGTGTAGTGTAGAAACAGTGGATCTGAAAGCAAACAGATTTCACCCTGAGACTTTCAGCTGCAGTTGTGACCATTCCAGGAGCAAGCAACTGGATCTCCGCACACGGCTGTTGAAGTTCCAGCTGACCGAGGAGTTTTTGCAGTGGCAGGATTTGTTGGAGGATGGGTCAAAACCTATGGCACCATGGCACCATTTGAATGGGGGGATGAAACAGTTTGTTGAACATCCCTGGGGAAAACAGGGCTACCAGGGTTTTGACATGTTTTGACCCATTCCCATTTAATCTTTCCATTGTATCAGCAGGGATTCTGCAAAATGCCAAAGGTTTCTCCACATTGCTTTGAGAAGATTTTGCACCATCAGCATTTAATAGCCATTATTAATCACCATTATTCACCGTTATTAACCACCATTTTTCACCATTATTAACCAACATTATTTACCATTATTCACCATTCATATCACAGTAAGCAGCAGTTTTTTTGGGGGACGGGGGCAACCAGGGTGAGGGCCCCATATGAGGAGACCTCCTTAGAGGCCCTGCGGGAGGAGCTTCGGAAACTGGCCGGAGACCAGGTGCCCCTGCCGAAGCTTCCAGATTCCATCCCATGGAGATCCATAGCTATGTTAGTTTACCAGAGGGTAGATAAACATGATGATCCGTAGAACATTTTGATTAGATGATTCGATAATTTGTTCGATGATTTCGACAAAAACCCATGATGTTCGATACCACCTGTGGAAGATTTGTGAGATGATAGAGAACACCTCTGGATGATTTGTTCGATGATTTTAGATGATCATTGGATTTTTTTTTTGACAATACCATTGGAAAATACCATCAAAATACCATGTCATAGAATTGGATGATGGGAAAATTTACAGGAAAGCCCATTCAATTTGGTAAAAATCCATGGTTTCCGGTTCCGATTTTCCCAGCAAAACCAATCCAATGACCATGGGAACATACCCAGAGGTGGCAGATCTACGCCTGGAAGATGGGGACTTTGCTGTGGCACAGTGCGCCGGCTCGGCGCCGCGGGGTTGGGAGATGTCTTTTACCACAATCAAAGACATGTAACATTTGTTCTAGAAATAGAATTTCCATTCATTTCCATTAATTTCCATTAATTTCCTGAAACCACCACTACATTTCTTTTGGGAACCGGAATAGTTGAGCCTCTATCCTTTGGGAAGATCCAGTGCATAACTTGGGACACCAGATTTGTGCTGAAATTAGTGGCTCCAGAAAGCGATGTCCATACGTTGTGCAGGATCTTCCACCAGCAAACCTGTGATGACTCAATGAGGCAGCATGGTTCCTTGATGTTCCTTGGTTCCTTCATTTGAGGTGCTTCCAAACTTCAGCTGTGACCAGTTGAAAGCCAGTTGAAAGCCAGTTGAAAGCCAGTTGAAAGCCAGTTGAAAGCCACCAACACATTTCTCCTTCGCATTTTGAATCCATTTCAACTGGCACTGCCTGGTTCAATATTACTTCAGGTGAACAAGCAATCAGGGTCTATAGCATGGTGACCATCATAGACCTATTGTCCATCTATGAAAATCATTGAACATCTATATCATCTATGGTCCATCCATAGATTGATCGATGGAAATCAGATCTTCAACCGGTTCAACGCTTGAAATTTGCACCGCCAAAGCGCGCGCGATGGAAAATGCAGAAAATCCTCCTGGGATCATCAGCTCCTCGGTGACAGCGACAGCTCGTGACAGCTCTCAGTGTTGGCGATGCCGGAAATTGCAGCGGAATAGATATCTATCTGACTATCTGATATCATACATACACTGTATATATATATATACGTATATATATATATATACGTATATATATATATACGTATATATATATATATACGTATATATATATATACGTATATATATATATACACACATGATCTACTATATATATATGATCTACTATGTATATATATATATATGTATATATGATCTACTATATATATATATAGATATATACATATAATATGATGTACACTGTCATCCCATGTCTGGGGCTTCGGATCCGTTCCTGCTTTATTTGAGGTGCTCTCTGTTTGGTCTGCAAAGCCTTGGGCCAACGGACGGTGGTATGATGCCTCTCCCTACTTCAACCTACCTTTGGCCATTTGCAAACGCTTCCCGAAGTGCGTCGAAGGTGGGCACCTGTTGAGTTTTCGGCTTTTGAGTACATTGGGTCAGAAAGCATTGTGTGGCTATACATATATATATATATATGTATACACGTACATTATATATATATATATATTTACATATATATATATGATATATTTATATATAATACTTTCACTAAGTATACATATTTGTACAGATATACAATCAAACATATAGATAGATATAATCGATTCATACAGATGCATCGTGAAATCAAGTCCAACGTTCACTTAGCCATGGCGCTGAGCAACGAAAATAAACCAGGCTCCTGCGAACATGGACAGGGCGCCTGCCCTGCGACCTGGCAAAGTTTCCAGGGTCACTGTGCTTTGGCGACAATTTTTTCGTGGATGTTGGGGACGGATAACGACTGGGATATCTATGGATATCCCATGGAGAACTGGATGATGTTTAGAGGGTTTAGGTTTAAACCAAGGTTGGGATTGAGCAAGCAATTTTCTGATGTAACATGGTATAACATGGTATAACATGGTATAACTGTATACCCTACAAAAATTGCACCCCCATGGCTGAGTACCCCCCATAATTGACTTGACCCATGGGCATTGAAACATGTGCGGGTACCTTGACAGTACCTGTCCTGAGGTTACTTCGTTATCAAACATCCCCTCGTTTTTGCAGAAGCGGAGACACGGTGCAAGGACAGTTTGTTGGGATGCGGCTGGTGAAGCAACAGTTTGACCTGAAGACTTCTGTACAAGCAAACGCAGACAAGAGATGGGTTTGGGAGGGATTTAAACATCGCAGATGTGCTGACAGATTTGGTAACAGGCACCTTCTCCAAACTGCAGCCGATGGCAGGAGCACGACTCAACCTTGGTCTCCATCCACTCCCAGGAAGAAAATGACTTCGTGCAAGGACTTTGCAGCTTTGGCTAAATGGAACAGTGGAGCAGTGGAGCAGTGTCGCTACGCTCCTTGTGTTGAATCTATATAGGAATACTGCAGGCCTTCATGGGAAGCATGTGTTTGGGTTTGTAAACAGCAGCTGCTTGTACCAATGGGATTTCAACCCCAATTACTGGCATCACAAGTGGGTTAAAACTGCGGGTATCCTGCAGTTTTGGATAACCCAAGTGGATGGTGGGCTTGAACAAGGACATAAAGCACACATGCCATGCCTACCATTTCTTCGTTGACTCCAAGGTGGACGCAACTTCTGCTGGTTGGGCTTGCAGGAGGGTGTGGGGGAGATCCAGAGTGACGATTGGGAACACTATGACAAAGTCGTGACACTCCTCAAATTCTTGGCTTCGATTGGTGGCAGTATGTGGCAGTAAACTTGCGGACGCACCCGCAGGTTTTGGTTCATATTCTTCGATTACACACATACCAGAAATATTCCAGAAATGCTCGAACAGAAACTCTACAAGAAACTCTAGTTGATGGGACAAACCAATGGTTTCCACGGAATTTCCCAGAGAATTTCCCACAGAATTTCCCATGTTTCCCTGCAACCAATCCATTGATACCGAAGGAGTTTCCGAACACTGAGAGCTGGCGCTGGCTCGACGCGCTCCTTGGATCAAGGGCAACAAATGGCAACCAATGGCAGCTATGTTTGGGAAATGCATTTTTTAAAAGCAAACATAGATATATCTATAGCATCATTATATATCTATAGCCATCCAAGCGCAGTCTCTGATGTATAATCGTTCCAACAGCTTCCTTGTTGTTTCGCTTGGTGCAAAAACGTGCTTGGATGCTGAAACGGTTCGTCTTGGAGGAGAATAGGGGATGGATCAATATTCAAGACCAAGATCTGGGGAGAGATTTGGTAATTTCATGTAATTTGCGTAGTCAACCACAAGAGTTTGTTCCCAACTTTGACCCATACTCACAAGGTCCTAAGGTCCGATCGAAAAATCTGCCGACAGCTGCATATTCTCCCAGGGCTCGGGGAAACAGATCATATTCTGTATACAGCCTGTGACCCTCATGACCCCAACTGAGGTCGGATAACAGCTATGATTCCTACTGGCATTGGGCGACGGGCGAACCCAACAACTTTGGTGGTCGCGACGAGAGCGATTCTTGGCACCAACGTTGCTAAGAAGTTCTCGAATTTTTGCCGTGCTCCACAGACTCCAGAAGCAGTGGATCGACATCAGGTAGCTGTGATGAACTTCAACCTGCAGGAGCATTTTGTGAAGGGGATGATCGAAGAGCACATATATAGGGGCCAAGTCAATGTTTGGGGGACCAAAACCATCTAATTGTGTCACATGCTTGGATTTTCTTGGAAACGCTTTCTTGGCGAACCCACAACTTTGGCGGACATCCACGACATTGTGCCAGACATGGGATGTTCCCCGATATGACAAATGCCAGCAGCCGCGGCTTCTATTGTTTCCTTTGCCCGTTGCAGGATATGGATAGGAATCTCACGGGCCGTTGGGCAGATGGACTTTGGTACGACCTCCCTGCACGCTTTTCCCTGGGTCGTGTCGGGAGTCTCGAGTTATTTGATGATTTTGATGCCAGGGGATGGTTAAAACACGTTAAAACATGTTAAAACATCATAAAATAACCTGTCAGACCTGTCCCCCAGAGGGCCCCAGAGGGGCAGATCCTTCACAGTGGTAGCCAGTAGCTAGTTGTTGAACCTGCCCGCAGCACTCCCAAGGCCATCTGCGAGTTTGAGGGCACGTGCAAAGCCGGCTGGGACCACTTCAGGTCTGGTCGCGGTATGTTGAGATTCGGTGGACTTTGACAACTTCAACTTTCCGAAGCAGGAATGGGATCCATTTTCCTGCGAAGAGTGTCATTATAGTGTATGCAGCAATATGGGGCCTTCTCAAAAGAGGGAACTCCCAAACCATTGGTTTCCCGAGTACATATCATTCATATAACGTATTTTGTTTTGGGGTTGACTTCCTCCAGAATCATCCATCATTAATCATCCTGTATCTCGCTGTTTTCATGGTGGAACGTGATTTTCCAAAGTATGGGAGATCCCATGGATTTGTGTCTGTTGGGTTTCTCAAAATCCAGTGTTTCGTCATAATTTTCCCTATTGAAAAAAATGATTTTGGACTAAGACTAGGAGGAAATCCATGGATGGCCATTATGGCCAATGGCCATGAATGGGTGTGTAAACAAAAATCCGCTGGTTCATCATCACTTCCCCAATTTTTATTTTTTTTCCCCCAGTGTTTCCCAATTGTTCACCAATTTTCCCAACTTTTCATGGCCATTGCTGGGAAAATGGGAGATCCGGGTCCAGGGACTCCTGCTACCAGCTCCAAAGATGGCCCGGGAGTTTCAAGGAGGCCCAAGGCCATTGCCAGGAGGTGCACTGTGCCGATGACGGGCAAAGGACTGGGTACTGGAAATAGATAGGATAGGTATTGAGAGTTATTGATAAGTCTTTATATAGATATATTATTTTTATAATATGATATATATATATATATACAGTATATTGAGAGTTATTGATAGGTCTTGATATATGTAGGTCCTTCGATGGCAGTTCTTTGATGATTTTTGGGTGATTTTCCAGTGACCTTTGGGCATAGGGGAAGGATGTTTTTTTTCCCCACTGCTGAGATTCGAGTAGCAGCATTTTGCACCGGCCATTTTGCAAGCAACCTTACAGCAAGCCCTCCGTCTCTTAAAGTTTGCAAAACAAGTTCATTTATTTTTATAATAAATGCAGTATGCATGTATCTACATGTTATATATACAACATACAAAATCGCATATGTAATATTATATATATGTGTATATAGTTATATATATATATGTATGTATGTAATGTAATGTAATGCAATGCAATGTAATGTAATGTAATGCAATGCAATGTAATGTAATGCAATGCAATGTAATGTAATGTAATGTAGTATGTATATACACACACCTATATATATATATTATGTATATATATAATTATATATACATATATATACATAATATATATATATATAAATATGTGTATATATATATATAAATATGTATATATACATATAAATATGTATATATATATATACATATAAATATGTATATATACATATAAATATGTATATGTATATATATAAATATGTATATATATATGTAAATATGTATATATATATATATGTATGTATATATATATATATATATGTATATATATATGTATATATATATATAAATATGTATATATATATAAATATGTATATATATATATATTATAAATATGTATATATATATATAAATATGTATTTATATATACATACATATTTATATATATATATATACCAATGGAAATACATGTTTGTGCTCAGGATTAAGCAGAGCCTTGAGATTCCCAAGCTTCTTCTGTGGTGTTTCCGGTTTCCTGCCCGTATAATCCCTGAATCAATTTCATGTTCCCGATCATTTTAGCTCATTTTCCGGATCGTCTGCCGCTCATTGTCCCCACTATCCCCGCCGACTCCCCGCCCATTTCCCGATTATTTTCCCTCGTAAGCGTTTCATCCATTCAGCAGACCAGCTCACGCTTAGTGTAGTGTTTTTCCACAGCGGGCCCTTTGAAGACGTTTTCTATAGCCATTGCATTACACTACGCTGCACCACACCACACCACACTACACTCAATTACACTACACTACACTACCCTACCCCACATTGCATTACATTACGTTACATTACATTACATTACATTTCATTACGCTCATTGCACCACCACAAATGGAACTTCAACTACACTACATTAATTACACTACACCACAACTACAACTCCACCACACTACACTACACTACAACTACAACTACAGCTGCACTACACCACACTACATCCAGCAGTTGTGGGTGAGGCGACCGACCAGGTGACCACTGCAACCATTGCAGCCACTCCAAAAAACACAGCTCCAACCACCTTTCGGTCCATCAGTGGATTCGCTCTGCCATCTGTGATTCACAACAACCAATCTCTCCTGTAGGTTTCCTATTTTTGAAACTTCCGCCACCGCCTTGTGCGGCACTACTGGTAATAATATAGTATATTATATTATTATTTATTATTATTATATATATATACACAGTTTATGTGAGATATGTAAATTAGAAACAAGACCAATCCATTGCATTTGAGTGTGGGAGCATCCAAGGCTTCCATTGCTCAGACCTGGAACCCAGTGGGTTGAGTGCCAGGCATCAGCTCATTTGGTCAGCATTTCTTCAGCAGAGGAGCAGGACTTTGTTGGGCTTCTCAGTTTGCTCCAGGAAATGGATACGAAATGGAGATGACATGGATGTGAGATGATGAATGGAGATGAAATGGAGACGAATGGGGCGAGTGCTTTGGGGCTCACGATTGTCAGAGTTGTGGGGTTCACATTGTCATGAATTCAACCCGACTTTTGAAGCAATGGCACCAACATGAAGATGCATCAAGTGTTCATATGACTCCACTAGTTGCACACAAGAATTGCTAGTGCTTGTGGATATTATACCCCGTTTGTATCACATCGTAATGAAATCAAATCAAATCGTATCAGATCATCAAATCATAGGTGGCATGACCCTCATTCTTGATAGAAATGCCTTCCCGTTTGATGTTAAAAACCCCCAATTCTTGGCGGTTATACCGTATACCGCCCTTTTTCATGGTTATATCCCATTTTTTAACGGGTAAACCAGCAGTTTTGATGAGTAAACCATCCGTTTTTGATGCTGAAACCACCATTTTTACTGAGTTCATTACACCATTTTGAAGCGGTGGCAACCACTGGCTGAGGTGCAGCGCCTCTGTGGATCCAACATGTGTTGGCTGGGCCTGGAGGAAGCATCAAAGCTAGGAGTCACAGCTGGGGCAATGGATGTGCTGGGAGGATGATAGGTGATGATGGGTCTATCATGGCTCGGAACATTTCGGACACCATTTTTCTTTTTAAAATTTGCGGCACACTCTGATAATCTGGGATATTCATGGAGGTACAAACCGCATCCGCAGTGTTTTCCGTTGAGGTCAGAACGCTGGAGATGGATCGATGGGTGCCACAACGGCAGTTGGAGATCGAAATGGAAGGGATGGAGTCCACTTGCCATGATGACCGCAAATTGGATGGTCAGCTCTTGTCCAAAAATGTGGACTTCTACAGCAAAAGGATGCAAAAGGAAAACCACCAACTAGTTCTATGATGTTCTATGATGTATAGTCATGCAGTCACGCCCCTATTTTTTTCCGTATGTTTCCATACTCTCCTGGTGAAATGCTGATTCTGATGGTGGGTAAGCTCCCAACCTTTCCTGCTTCGCTTCAGGTCCAGTTTGACTTTTGAGAACTGGCAGCAAGGAGAGCCTAACAACTACGGCCAGAGCCTTTGATCTGCACAGGGTGAGTTGGCAATGCGAATATCATGGGATGTATAACTAACAATCGCCGGACTAATAAACCCTTGTTAGGTATGTCATGGTATGTCTCATACTCCAAAATCATCCCAAGTTGACTGTGTGGTGATGAAGCGAAGTGCCGATGGTAGAAAGCCAGAAAGCTGAGGTGGCATCGACGAGAACCGAGCGATGATGAACCTGAACTTTGCAGAGGCAAATCCAACTTTGGATAGGAGTCCGTGGAGCATCATCCGATGAATCATAATTGGTTAGTCTCCAGAACAGGTCCTCCTAGAAGTGCAGTTTTTACATGATTTAAGATGATATTTTGAGAGGTTTTGCTGCACTCCTAAGGGCACTTTTACCCAACAATTTGATCAGAGTATTAGAAATCTTGAAAAATCAGATGAAATTCAATATATCCCAATCAAATTGATTAAAATCACACACAACCACAAGAATCGACAAAACATTGCAAAGACCAAAAAAACTTCGAAAACATGTCCAGTCTCTTTGGAGTACGGAAGGGGGGGTCCAGGCAAGAGTCCCTGAATATAGTGTTTTTTGGTGTTCTCGAGTTTTTTTTTGTTTTCTGGGGGGAAGCCTAATTTGTATTTTCTAAAGGGGGAAGGCCTTATTTTTATTGTATGGAGGTTGCGTATTTTTTTCTAAGCATAATGAGTGCCACCCTCTTTTCAAAGGAATAAACACGTATTGCATCTTTTTCAAGGTAATATTTAATGAAGTGATCAAGTACTTTCTTAAAGGAATGCCGCGCTCTTGAAAAAGGCAATGTGTACTGTATATTCAAATTTTATCTTGGAGAGATGCTATCCTTCTCTGAAAGGACTATACCACCTCTATGGAAGAAACACCATATTTGTTCCAAAATATATGGAAGACATGATGTACTCTTTCAAAAGGAATGCTGTGCACATCTCAGGGCCCTGCTTCAAAGTAATGATACACTTTATCAGAGGAATGTTGCCCTCGCTGTAGGAAAATGTTGCATGGAGGTATGCCACAACTTCCTCAAGGAATGCCACATTCTTTTAAATGATGGCTTATGAGAAGCATGCTGTTGCCCTTAAAATCTAAGTTGATACTATGTTTTAAAAACACCCATTTCTTCAAGAGAACAGTACGTATGCTTATCCTTACAAAACGTTCCATATCTCTTAATGATGCAGGGAACTCAGGAAGATGCAGTACTACTTGGACAAAATGGAATCCCCTGTCAATCAAAAGTGCTGTATCCTCTCGTTCATGCTTGCCATAAAGACATGCAGCATAGAAGCAAACACCACCCTATCGTTTGAACGTGGCGCAACCGGTCAAAATTGAATTCCATTTCTCTTTGATATTCATTGGCTCAATACAATATTTATAGATATTTATAGCAATAACGGCTGTATTGCAGCATGTTTCTACCAAACTGAATCTTCCCAGCTGATTGACGGGTTTGCTTGCAGGTCCTTGTAGTTCATTGTTGCCTGATGTGCAAACTTGGACATGTACCGTATACACACAAGATCACACAAGACTTGAAGCCAAAAATTCTGCCACAATACATACCTATATATAGCTCTACAACTGCTACGCCTCGAAACTAAGATAGGCATAAGCAGATGTTTTAAGTGACTCATTTTTTACATTGTTCAAAATATAAGACTTACCAAAAGGCGCACTCCCACAAAGACTCGGACTCTTAGCAAATGGGGTTAGTTCACCCCGGGTGGAAGTATAAATGGGAGAACCCGATGGGACTTACTGCTGGTATTCCATTTTTCTGAGACACCAGGTCTTGAAGAAAGCGCCCAAGGCATGGATCAGGACACCGGAGTTGCACGCGGCAGCAATATCATGACACCCATCTTCGGTAATTCACCCTGCATGTTATGGGTCAATACCTCACATCGCTAAACAAATGCTCAAAACAAGTGTCATTTGGATTCATTTGGCTTCAAGATGATAAATCATGATAAATCATGATAAATCATGATAAATCATGATAAATCATGATAAATCATGATTCATGATAAACCAGGATTCACGATCCTGCATCAAACATGTAAATCTCAACGAGGTCCAACTAGAAGGCCCCGCACCAGGAGCCAACAGGCTGCAGCGTGGCAGAGGGCAGCTGCAGCGGCCCAGGACCTTGTGATCCCATGAGGTCCCAAATAACATCAACTACGGGAACCAAACATGGCAATGTAAAATCCTCATTTATAGATGATGTTCATTGTTTTTCATTGTTGTTATTGTTCACTGTTTTTCACTGTTGTTCATTGTTTTTCATTCATTGTTTTTCCCGTTAACACTGCCATTTCGATGGCGATTTCCCATTTCCCATTGTCATGTTTGATTACGGAAGTGTTTCTTAATGACCATGAGCCACCCGGCATGTTCATCCCAGCAGGGACTCCAATGAATCCGGTCAGTCCCAAAAACATGCCAGGAGTCCCTAGGACTTAAGGTACAGTGTTTCCGAATTACAGTACTTAAGGCTTAGGAGGTTTGAAATACAACAAAACACCGTTGCGGTCATCCCGCGGATGCAATAATCGTACACAAAAAAATGAACCACATTGTTTGCGGAATCAAGTGAATTAGATTGATGTTTATTTTCAAGTCATATAAAATATATAAATCTGTGAATGTCATTTGGCTCTGTTTTGTGGCGTATCGTTGATCAATGCATCCGCCATGCCCCAGGAGTCCCAGGAGCCCAAGCTCGGTGCCGGTGCCAGCTGGACGGATGGCAAGTGGTACGATGTGCCCATGGATTTTAACTTGGCGTTGCCCATGTGTGAAGCTCCAACAGCTGAGGAGAGATTTCCACAGTTGGCAAAGTATGGCAAAGTGGCAAAGGAAGTTTCAGAAAATTTCACGAAATCTTGGGATGTGATGTGTTTCAATGTTTTATTACTAATTGTCATTACTGTTACTTTTGTGTTAACAAGTTCGCACTCGTTGGGGTGGAACTATCACTTGCTGCAGCGTTGCCCCGGGCCGGAGGAGTGCCAAGTTGGCTGGCAGGCCAGTCAATGCTCAGAACTAGACACACAAAGAGTGCAAAAGATTGGAGGGTTATAGTTATGATAGTGGCTTTCTTTAGGCAACCTTAATCTTCTCACATGCTGGATTTCATCGCGTGTCACCTTGTCTTGACTGACCCAAACTGGTGTTTTTGGGCATCCATGCCCCCCTTGGGTTTAGCATGGCCATCATTTTTTGCCGGGTTTGCCTGGCGAAGGCTTTCGGTGGCAGCTGCTACAAGTTAATCTTCCATCCTTCAGATTTCGACATCGCGGAGGAGAGGTGCTTGGAGCACAACAGTTTTCTGGTGGCCATCGCAAGCCTGGAGGAAAACCAGTTGCCTGGTGTGGAGTCGGATGTTCTTGATTGGTATTTCAGCCAACTATAATTAGTGCTTGGATTCGGCAGCCAGGTAGGGAGAATGGTGGTTGGTGTAACGTGCAGCATCACTTTGTCCACAGCAGCCATGTTTCAATGTTTGAGGTTTGTGCAAAACCTCTGTGCCTTGTCAGCTGATAGAAATCTCACTTCGGCGGATGTCTCTGGACATCATCAAGATGGGTGATTGAGAGGTTTTGGGCCTCCTGAAAGGATTCGATCTTTGCTTTGAGAAGAAATGAGGAGAGAGTCATAAATATGGTGCCCATCCATCATTGATCCATTGTTTTCATGGAATCAGGCTTAATGACTACTGATAAAGTTCAATGATGCATTGAATGCAAATGCTTGGTGGTTCTCAAAATTTGGGTAGCCTAAACAACCATTGGTTTCCCCGTTCCCCCATTCAAAACGCCCTATTTTGGACGATTCTGGGGTCTCCCCAGAAGCCCCTACATTGTTGCTTCTTAAATTCCCCTTGCTTGTAATGTATCCGAATACCATTGCCCCATATCCCAAATATGGTTCGTTTCATTACCATCCATTGCCCATTTTTATCGCAAAATCAGGAGGTGCCTTCAGTAGGAGATAGCGTTTGGATAGTGCCCATTTACAGATGGGTAAATCACCATTTTAAATGGATCAATCCACTATACATGGCAATTTTCAATAGCGTTCGGACAGTGCCCATTTACAGATTTTGCCGATGGAGACCTTAGGTGGCCAACACTTCTGCTGGATCGGGCTTCGACGACACCAGAGCTCCACTCGGTGGAGCTGGATCGAAGCTTGGGACTGCTGCCACGGGGCTGGGAAATGGTTGGATGATGGTTGGATGATGTTTTTATTATGGTTATTGTTATCCAACCATAATCCAACCATAGTTCATCCAACCATAGTTTTTCACTATGATTGTTCTTATTTTATATCATTTTGATATTCTGGTTTTTGCTGGTTGGGTTGAGGTTCATCATGTGTTGATATCCATGGTGACACATAATCTAAACTGAAACTGGAGCCAAGGAAGGGACGGAGCTGGAGTTCAGCAACTGGCAAGTTGGAGCCTGGGCATCCAGGGGCCCTGGAACAATACTTTGATGCAACTTTCTACTGGTTGGTGGTGACTGGAACATGGCTTTTATTTTTCCGTATATTGGGAATAACCATCCCAGCTGACTGATATTTTTCTAGCTTGTCTCCAAGCCCATTTTTGCTCACAAGTTGTGGACCCAAGAAGCGTAGTTCCATTCTCAGACATAAGAACAGCACATGTCTTCTGCACCAAGGAGAACCCAACAACTTCAACAATGTTGCTGAGAAGGCAAGGTCCATGACTTCGCATACTTCAGTAAGCCGTCAATTGGGCTGGAACACTAGAGCTGTTGAGAAGGACCATATGGTGTGACTGGTCAATCTGGTTGCTTACGTTGATGGTGCTCCATCTAATCTATCACTGTGATCTTATGGCAGGACGTCATATCATATAGCATATATAATGTAGCATATATCATATATCACAGTTCATATCTCATATCATATCATATCATCTCATTTGTCGTATGATTCTTCTGTATGAGTGAGAAGGTGCTGTCAAAAGTAGATGCATGTGTTTGATGTTATTAAGCAGAGGTGCACAGAGTCAACACAACATCAATGACAAAGGATATACTCCGCGTTTTCTCTGCACTGTGTTCGTTTTTTCCTGTGCAAGCGAGGTGGCCATCATGAACTTCAATATGCAGGCAGTGGTTGATGAGTCCATTGGTTGACCTGACCCTCTTGAGGGAATGGTGCTGCTTCCAGTGTACAAGCAAAAAACTTGGCACAGTGGGTTTGGGTCTCAAATGATTTTTCCCACTATTTCATTTGGAAAAATTATCCAAGCTTTATGCCCTAAGTGAAGCCCTTGCCATTTCGGGGTATATGGTATACGATGATGTACAGTACATTTCTGGACAAACAACACAATGTGTTGCTCCAGGAGTACCGGCGCAAAGAGCCCTTGGCTTGGGCCAGTGGCCGCTGGTACGATGTGAATGGGGCACTGAACTTGCCCAAGGTCTGGCCGGAAATCTCGGAATTTTGAGTGGATCGACATCTAAGATTTTGAAAGATGTTGATATTCTTTGGCAGTTTTCACAGACACGATTTCATCCTACTTGAAAAGTGCCTGTTTGTTGTGGTCACGCGCAGGCCATCTGCGAGAAGCGGAAAGTGGCTGGAATTTGCGACACTGGATGGAAAGCTCACGAGGATTCCTGCTACTTCAAGTGCCTTGGAGCCAAAGATCTGCAGCAGTTGCGTTGGCATGGCGCAGTTGCTTTGTGAAGGGGTTTGGACACGACCAGGTAATAGAAGAGCTCAACTGTTTAGTGTTGTACTACCTATTTATTTTTGTCATATCTTTTCATTGGTTGAATCATTGAGTTTCTTCATGGCTGTTCCAATGGGAGTACTTTTTTTTACTGCAGCCGGGTGTTGGATTCATCGATTAAAAAACCACAGGTTGACCTGGCATTACAACTTCGACACTTCGACCCTACGTTGCGAGGTCAGGATCCGAGTAGAACAGCAGCCATCATCGCAGCCATCATTTTGATCGGGGGTCCGGGGGTTCAACAAAATTAGGAACCCCAGAAATTGGAAACTGAAGTTAAAACAGGCTAAACCTCGGCAAAACTGCACCCCCCCTGCGAAACAAGTAACTCATCCGACTCGTCCACTGCAGGACATGGGGGCGGAGTTGGTGAGCATCGGCACCCTATCAGAGCAGATCTTTGTTGGGATGCCCAGATAGTGCAACGGGGGAGGGCGACTATGCTGAACCTGGTGCTAGACTGGTGTGGATTTCGCTCAGAGCCTGGAAATTGTGAGCATAATGTGATAAGTGTCACACTTGAGTATCGATTCAATCATACCATCCTTGTCTTTTGTCATGGTGCCGAGCGGTCTTGTCAACTCGACTTTTGAATGCTTTTAAATGAATAGTTCGATTTGATAATGTGACAATGGGATATGTACCTAGAGATATACGTATGTAATGTAATGTAATGCAATGCAATGCAATGTAATGCAATGCAATGTAATGTAATGTAATGTAATATAGTGTAGTGTAATGTAGTGTAATGTATATAGTGTAATGTAGTGTAATGAAGTGCAATGTAATGTCATGTCAGGTCATGTTATGTATGTTCTGATTCTAAGCCATATAAATGATATAATGTACCTATATCTAGTAGAATACACTGTGTATGATATAGTGTATAAGTAGGGCTACCGCCCTGGTGCCGCCGACCCCCCTTTATGGGGGGCATGGCAGTGGAAGCATGGCATGCCCATCATGCGGCACGGTCGTTCAATCACGCTTGCATCAGGGCGAATCCCGTGCCTGCAAGACAGAATCGCGGAACGCGTGACATATTTCTGAACGATTTCCGAAAGATGCCAAAGCCAGCCGCCAGCTCGGAAAAAAGCACTTGTGCTCGAACAGTCGCTTTAGCAGCATGGCAGAAGGGCGGAACGCTTCTCGAAGCGAAGCCGCCAGCTCGGGAACAAGCACCCCTCGCCACGCTTTAACAGCATGGCAGTGAAGGACGGAAGGCTTCTCGAAGGGCAGCTAGGTCGTGGCCCATTTGCTTGCTTTGAAACGCCACTAGAACAAGGTTCAAGGGCCAGCAAACAAGCTCAAAAACGTACCGCCAGCTCGGGAGAAAAGCATCCCTCGCCACGCTTGAACAGCATGGCGCTGAAGGATGGAAGGCTGCTCGAAGGGCCGCCAGGTCGTGGCCCATTTGCTGGCTTAGAACATCTTAGAACAAGGTTCAAAGGCCAGCCAAAGGGCTCAAGCACCTTCGAAAAAGCACCCTTCGCCACACCTTAACACCATGGCAGTGAAGGACGGAAGGCTGCTCGGACGGCCGCCAGGTCGTGGCCCATTTGTCGCCTTTGAAAGAGCAAGGTTCAAAGGCCAGCCAGAGGGCTCAAAAACTTAACAGCATGGCAGTGAAGGACGGAAAGCTGCTCGGAGGGCCGCCAGGTCGTGGCCCATTGCCGGCTTTGAAACGCCTATAAAACAAGGTTTCAAAGGTCAGCCAAAGGGCTCAACCACGTCCGTTTTGCCACGCCGAGACGACAGGGCACTCCGGGGCAGATCGCGCCTTTGAAAAAGCACCCTTCGCGACGCCTTAACAGCATGGCAGTGAAGGACGGAAAGCTGCTCGAAGGGCCGCCAGGTCGTGGCCCATTTGCTGGCTTAGAACAAGGTTCAAAGGCCAGCCAAAGGGCTCAAACACGTCCGTTTTGCCACCGAATCGGCAGGGCACTGCCGGGCAGATCGCGCTTGCGAAAAAGCACCCTTCACCACGCCTTAACAGCATGGCAGTGGAGGACTGAAGGCTGAAGGCGCAATCTGCCCCGCACTGCCCCGCACTGCCCTGCTGTTTCGGCTGAGCCCTTTGGCTGGCCTTTGCTTTTTCAAAGGCGCGATCTGCCCCACAGTGCCCTGCCGTTTCGGCGTGGCAAAGCGGACGTTTTTGAGCCCTTTGGCTGGCTGTTGAACCTTGTTCTATTTGCGTTTCAAAGGCGGCAACGCCCTCCGAGCGAGAAAGCACCCTTCGCTACGCCTTAACAGCATGGCAGTTAAGGACAGCTGCTCGGAGAGCCGCCAGGTCGTGGCCCATTTGCCGCCTCTGAAACGCCTATAGAACAAAGTTCAAAGGCGAGCCAAAGGTCAAAAACGTCCGTTGAGCCACGCAGAAACGGCAAGGCACTGCGGGGCAGATCGCGCCTTCGAAAAAGCAGTCGCCACGCCTCAACAGCATGGCAGTGAAGGACGGAAAGCTGCTTCGAGGGCCGCCAGGTTGTGGCTGATTTGCCTGTGAAGCGCTTATAGAACAAGGTTTAAAGGCCAGCCAAAGGGCTCAAAAACGTCCGTTTTGCCACGCCGAAACGGCAGGGCACTCCGGGGCAGATCGCGCCTTCGAAAAAGCGCCCTTCGCGACGCCTTAGCAGCATGGCAGTGAAGGAACGTCCGTTTTGCCACGTCGAATCGGAATGGCACTGCGGGGCAGATCGTGCTTGCGAAAAAGCATTCTTCGCCACGCCTTAACAGCATGGCAGTGAAGGACGGCTCGGAGGGTTGCCAGGAGGTGCTGTCGGCAGCACTTCACCCAGCTCAGTATCATATACTTATATATACTTATATTTACTTATATACACTTATATATACTTATATATACTTATATATATATATACTATATATACTTATATATACTTATATATATACTTATATATAAATATATATATATATATAATATTATATACATGTGCATCAACGCATCGCGCACGAATTTTTGTGTCGGTTTGTGGATTTCAGGTCCAGCATCTCTGTGGTCAGCAGATGTGTTGGTTGGGGCTTCAAGAACATCCTCTGTGCCTCGGCGCCGTCACCACCAAGTCATCACCACCATCGGATGCCGAAAAAAGAAAGGGGAAACATCCCCAAAATGGTTCCCCAAATGGTAGGATATGGTAGGATTTTATGGCGGGTTTTTGAGATGATGGGGGTGGCGATTGATCGTTGATGGTTGGCGATTGATGGCTTTGGTTTTGGCCTTTGTTTTGTGTTGGTGATGGATGTTCAACATCCTAAGGATATGGTGATTCGAGTCATTTTCCTGGCCACTGGCCACTGTTAAGATTTATGATGTTACTGACCTTTAGAGGGAAGATAGTGAAACTGGAAATTTGGATGTTTGTGCACATGCGATTCATTTTGTCATGGGTTTGTTGGTACAATGAGTGGTACAATATCCCAAACAGAATCACATCTTTACACGTCCACATTGGTGCTGCGCCACCAAGGACTGAAGTTTGGTTCTGGATCGATGGCACCCCCTTGGCCTACCAGAACTGGCAGGTCGGTGAACCCAACAATGGCCAGGGCGATGAGAATCGCGCGGTCATGAACATGAACCCTGGCATTGCATGGCATATCACGTTTGTTCCCCAGAACCAAAACAGTTTGGGAAATAATGAGGGCTCTGTCTTCAAAGTTTCATGTTGAGACCTTGGGCATGACATGGCATGATTCTGAGCTCAGGAACCTGAACTTTGAAGAAAACATTGTGCACCAAGAAGTTCGCGAAGATCACATTGCGGTCGCGTCCCAGCCTCGTTGCAGAGTGCCAAATTTGTGTGCCGAATTCACCGTGGAACATGCCGAGGTTGGCCTGCGGTTTTCTGCTGCTCTTTGTGATCCTGCAGCTTGGCTGGACATGACAAGGACTCGCTTGACGTCAGGTGATGTTTCACATACGAAACGAAATTTGGCAACATATTTGCCGTTCCATTGTTTTTTAGCATGAAAAATGATCACAATCATCACAAACACCATTGATTATACCATAGTATATTCATTTACGATCATATATCATCATTATCATCGCCATCCTAAACAAAAATCACTGGAAAGAACAGCTGCAGGTTGGGTCGCGGCGCCATCCTGCACAACCGAAGGCGAGGCTTTGGAGGCTTCGTGCCGTCGGTGGAGCATGATGAGGACCTTCTGGAGCAACTGGCCCTTTGAAATCTATGAGCCATAAGAGATACCCCTAGTGATTGATGTGATTGGTTGTGAGTCATGTTTCTTTTTGTCATTTTTGGTTGAGAATATACTAGGTGGATCTAGGTGGCTTTATGGGATGATTATAACCAATCTCATATATATATATATTATACATAATATGGAGACCCGCGCAACAACCCGGGTAACCAGCATAATGGGATGGGATACGGGGTATTTTTTATGGCTCACCTATCATTGTCGTGGAGGTGGAGGTGGGCCTTTGTTTTGTCCGGCTCAAGCTTTGAGGCCGACAAGTGTTGCAAAGCTCATCATATCAACACACGGGGATGATATTGGTAGGGAGCAGTGCCATGTGAATCATATGATGTCCTTAATGGAGATGTTGCAACTTTGATGAACTTTTCTGGTTTCGAGACTTTATAGACTTCACAGACTTCACGTTTCCATTTGAAACTCCGGAGGCTGCAATGAATTGCTTCAGGGTTCCATTGAAATACTTATATAGATTCATGAGATTCACAAAGCTGATTGCATGGATTCCTCCGGGTCAAATTTGTGTCCTGGCGCAAAGCTTTTGGGCTACTGGCAGGAAGATGATTCTTGGTATCCTTGTAATTTGGTGAAGTGTCGACAGAACCAGTTGCAGGTTCAGTGGGAAGATGCCACGATTTCCATTTTGTCCAAAGATGAGGTTCGAAGATTTGGGAATCGCAAGAAACTTCTCGAAGACTCCCAGGTTTCAGCGGCCAAGCGACGTCGGTCGGCAACTGCTGACACGTCCTCGATGCCACGATCGTTGACCTTGCCCAGACGTCAGCTACCTCCACATCGATATGTCCTGGCTCCGATGGTTGGCGGTTCGGAACTGCCCTTCAGGATGATGACCAGACGATATGGAACCCAGTTGTGCTACACGCCGATGATCTACTCAGGTCCATTTTCCAGAGACAAAGCCTATAGAGACGCTGCAGAGAATGGCTTTCAGACGTGTCAGGAGGATCGACCACTGGTGGTTCACTTTTGTGGAAACGATCCAGAGGTCCTGTTGACGGCTGCCAAACATGTGGAGCATCAGGTGGATGCAGTGGATTTAAATTTGGGATGCCCACAGCGGGTAGCACATGCTGAACACTTTGGTGCTTACCTTCTGGAGGAGAAGGATAGACCACTGCTGTGCAGCATCGTGAAGCGGCTCTCGGATGGGCTCTCGGTGCCTGTCTTCTGCAAGATTCGTTTGCTGGACGACATCGAGGAGGGGCGCAGCAGTCCACGGGATTCCAACGAGTTTTTAGCGGGTGTATTGGGGTAAGGATCATCGTTGGATCCCTTTCTGAATGATAGAATTTCCATGGAATTTCCGAAATCCAAATATGTCATGTTTGATAGTGTTTGTATGCTGGGTTCTGTCAATAGCCACCTTTAGCCATCGACATCTAAACATTGCTGATATCATATCATATTATATCATATCACATCATATCATATCATATCTAACCATCAAAATGGATTACAATGGATGGTCTTGGCCAAAAAAACAATGTTAGTCCCAGTTTTCAGGCCACGCTGAAGTTGGTGAAGCAGTTGGCTGCCTCCGGCGCCAGCCTCATCGCCGTCCATGCACGCTACCGGGGCACGCCCACGCATCGCCGGGATGGCCCGGCACATTTGGATCAAGTGGCGATCATCAAAAAGGCCGTGGATGTCCCGGTGCTGGCCAATGGCAACATCAAGAGTTGGGAGGATGTCCAGGCAGATGCTTGATCTTTGTAATGTTAGCAATGGCATATACCACGCATATTTTGGTCTATACCACCCATTAGTAAATTTGGGGATGGTTTAGTATCAACAATTAGTGAAGAAAAACAGATGGGAATTTTGCGTGGAGAGCTGGGAAGGTTTTCTTGGAAGATTTCGGCTGAGAGTTTTGACATCCCAACAGTTTGGGGCTATATTCGCTGTAGTTGGTGTAGCCATGAAACATTTAACATGGCAGGAAGCCCCCAGTGCCAGGCAAATTTGCAGCTCACTGGGGCAGATGGAGTCATGTCTGCCGAAGGCATGTTGGATGATCCATGTCTCTACGCATCCACCGGATCCAGTGGGTCCTCCAGGGACCGAAAAATTTCGCTTCGGAAGGTGGAAAAGAAGATCCGACAGCTGCAGAATCTTCTGGAGAAGAAGAAGAATGGTGCCAAGTTGACTCCAGAAGAAGAGGAAAAGGTGAAGAAACGAAAGGACCTGAAGCGAGAACGTAAGGAGCTTTTGAATCGTTACAATGAGACAGAGAAAAAAGGATTGCCTGAAGAGTTAGAAGTCCCCAAGGATGGCCTGACCAAAGCTCGTCAGTATTTGTCCATCGTGAAGGACTATCCACCGTCACCACCTTTGTCCACCTTGATTTTCCACTGTCGCCGCATGGCCAAAACGGAGCTCACTGCCTTTCAGCTCTTGGAGGATTTCAAAGCCGCAACGTCCTTGGATGAGGTGCACCGTTTGTTGAGTAAAGCTGAAGGATTTCGTGACGCACCTGGAAGTTTCCAAGCGAGTAAGGAGAAGGAACACCAGGATAGAGAGCTCAGGAAACAACAGGCCTATGAGTTGGAATGTCGGAGGAAATATGAGCAGAGAATGGCTCGCAAGGCTGCTCGTTTGGGGGTGCCTTTGGCAGAGGTCATGAAAGGATCCGCGGTGCCGGGAGGATCGATGCATTTCAATAGTGAACCCAGCTGGTTGACAGAGAAGGGTGACATGACTGACCCAGTGGACAGCAAGAAAGCTGGGAAAATAAGCGTGGAACAGGGTTTGCAGTTGGGCTTCCCAGGTGGTTAGAATCGTTAGCTCTGAATTTTTCAATAAATATATTCTGATATTGCTATACACATACAGATAATTATATAATGGTCATATATGGTCATTATACATGTATAAATCATGTATATATATATATTAATATAGATATATACAAATGCAGTGGCCTCGGCGTGCTACATGCCTTCTTGATAGAAGACAGGGACGGGCCTTCACGATAAAAGTAATCCCTTGCAACTGCAAAACACAAAACGTGAAGGAGAGATCTATAGCAGCGCCACCCAGAGACTCATCGCAGCCTCTTTTCGACATCGGTGATTGGCTGAAAACTCGTTGTGTCATAATAATTATTGCCATCCACCAATCTCCTGTAGGTCCAATTCCCGGTGACAGAATCATGGTCCAGGGACGACCCACAGACCCATCAAGGTATGCGGAGCACGACGCCCGTTGTCCGCCCTTACGGACAGCTCCTGATGAGCCAGCGGAATGAAAAGAGCGGTGATCCCGGAGATGGCTGTGATCCGGCCTTTTGAATGTCTTTTGTGGATTTGAGCATCAGTTTACCAGAGAATATTCTGATGTTCACCAGTGGACCATCGCAGGTTCAAGGACCGCTTGGTGGCTGAGAAAGTCTGGAACCAAAAGACTGAGCTGAGCTGCCCTGTGGAGTGGCCAGAACCTCAGCATTCCATTGCAGACTCCCAGAACTGGATGAAAGGGATGTGTGATACTACGATATGCACGGGAAAAACCATGGAAAACCCATGGTTTCTGGTTTTGTTTTTTCCTGAAACTAATCCTATCACAAGCTTGTTTGAGCCGAGGTATGAAGCAGTGCGGGAAGCGAGGCGCAGTAGAAGTGACATCATCCTTGGAAAAATATAATAAAATATATATTTGATCGAAAAAGCATGGTTCCCTGCAGATATTCCCTTAAAGCAATTCATTGTTTGGTGGTTTCTAATAGTTCCTCAGTAGTCACTAAACCCCAAACAAATTACCTTCCGCATACCCGAATCATATTGTTGGTGAGATAGATCCCATTACTTTCCGATGGTTAGAGGGAACTAAGGAGCTGTGGGTGTCCACATTCCATATGAAATGGGGAGCCCGGGAGCTACTAGTTTTCCAACCACATGATAGATTATAGTATAGTCCTGCTAAGGTCCTGCTATATCCTCATTATATCCCCCATGATTTCCCTATCATATCCCCATAAAGTGGTTCATTTCGCGAGGGCTTCAATCCGACGAAACACCGTCCATGCCAGGGACGAGGAAGTTCAAGAGGCAACGGCACGGGGTTTTGGCTCAGGGTTGAAGCCCTACCTGGTTGGTGGGGGTATCTTATGGCCATTTCAATAGGGAAAATGGTGATAATGGGTTAGAATTGAGGGATACCTTATTTTTTTCAGACAAACCCAAATATGATTTGAACCAGCCTTAAATTGATGGTGTCAACAGTGGTTGACTTTAAATGTGTAGAATGCATAAACATAGGGGGGTTGCCAACCATAAATGGGAATATCACCTTCAGCAATGGGATATTTTCCCATAGAACTCGGTGGTTTGAAATGTTGCTCAGACATGGGGTACCGGCGATAAAAAAGGACACGCCTGAGGTCAACGAATTTGAAGCACACCATTTTTTGGGGGTGATGATATACAGTTTACATAGTATGAATTACATTTAATTACTTGATTTTCAAGTTTGGCAACAGTTTGAAATGAATGTTGGTCCACTTTCCAGTTTTGATCTGCAACAACAAAGGAATCTTGAAATGAATGTTGACCAAGCACAATACTCCAAAATCAAATCACCCTTACTGATTCTGTGATACGCGAGATATGCCATTGTTCCCAGCATGCTCCAAGCATTCACAGTATGCCATGTTTTATCGGAGCAGAAGCATCATCCTCCAAGTCTCCATGTTGACAAGGCCCTCACAGCAGACGGTGAGGGCTTTCCAGCGCAGGACTGCCAGGGCTGCCATGTCTCTCTCCCAAAAGTGGATAATTATGGATAATTTCAATGGAGGTTTCCTGAAATGGGGGTACCCCAATAGCTGGATGGTTTACAAAGGAAGATCCCAAAATAAAATAGATGATGTGGAGGTACTCGCATTTGAGGAAACCTCCAGATCCTGGAACACAAGATACAGAGTTCGGTTAGATCTGTTGCCGTGGGTTCATTTCGTGCCTAGCGATATCTCTCCAAGCTGGTTACCTGGTTTGAAGACTCAATAACCAGCCAACTTGGAATTTGGTGGATTCATTAATACCATTTCAGCCATTTCATACCCCCAGGTCCTCATCCCAAGTGGAGATCCCAAATTGACCTTGGAGGATTTCACCAGCGAGGTGCGGGCGGTGCGGGCGGTGCGGGCCGCGGGCCAGTGATTTGGGGCGTTCGGAAGACACGCCAAGACCAGTTCGGAAGGGGAGTGTGGGGAAGCCAACATGATGTATATCCAACTTGGGTTCTTTGTAAACTATGCCCAGTTGGGTTCCAGTATTTTGACCCCAGACATTTCCGCTTCTTTTTGGAAGGCATACGCTGAGGCTCCACATGGGGAAGAGGACCTAACACCTTGGAACAGATTGGTTGATGGTTGGGATTGGTGGGATGATTTTTCAAGATTGGCCGGTTTCGGCAGAGCTGTTGGATGCTTTTCCAACATTTTCTAAGATCCACAGCTTGCCTGGATTTGGCAGGTCCTTTTGCTGGCACAGCATTCGCATCATCCATAGAGACATAGGACATAGGACCCTCGCAGTACCCGAAACGAAATCCTGGTTCCGTATGGGATCTATTCATGAAACCAGGTCCCCAAAATGGGGGGAGGTATTCAAAAGATGGATGATTGACTAGCAGGGCGATGGGATTACCAACCCAGTTGTGCAGATACTGTATATCTCGGATATGTTTGGAATTATTTGGACATTCCAAAAAAATAATGACCTCAATGTGACGTCACTGGAAAGATGATTCGATTTCCTGGGAATCATCCCCAATTGGCCGCAAGTTCCTATTTTCAGCTTAGTGGATTACTATAATTCAGCCAGAATATGAATATAGTAGCTACGATACAATACAAATGATATGTTTTCGTTATTATTATTGTTATCAGTTATTAAGTTATTATTATGTATTGTTATTAAAATTATTACTCTATTGAGTTGGGCTAAGTTTTCGTTTCTCAAAGCCAGTTGTTTTCCGCTCATCTTTTGCCGAGGAGATGGCAGCTCCCATGGCAGCGCCTGAGGACATGCCAGCGATGTTGGGTAAACCTTGGTTGGGTAGCTTAACAATAGGGGAAATACAATGCCCTTGTATGCAGTATATCTACTGTAATCACTGTAATCCAACTGACCTAAAAGGAACAGCGCGATCTTGAAGGGGACAATCCCTTTGTTTTGTTTCATTTTTGACAGGTGTTCAGCGATAGTCGCTGGAGCCAGAGTCATCACCCACGTCATCGTTCGAATGGGCGACAGATTTGGAAGTCCAATACTCTGCAGCTCTTGATTTGGGTGGGAAAGGTGCTTCGCCCCAAAATTGTCTTGTATCCCACCGTGACACGGAGGAATCTGCTGAGCCCTTCACCGACACGGGGCTGGGTCCGGAAACTGCTGATGCACCAAGAGACGCCGACGCGCCCAGTGCTGCTGACACGCCGCATGCCACTGATGCACCCAGTGCTGCTGACGCACCCAGAGCCGCTGACGTGCCGAGTGCCGGCGATCCGCCGAGTGCAAGTGCTGGCGATGCGCCGAGCAATGTAACCGCTGCCATTGCGGAGGACAGAAAGAAAGAGCCACCCAGGGCCACCAATAGATGAGATGTGCATGGCACAATGGGCATGTTGTGGCATGTTATGCCATACAAGAAGTTTCACCATCTTGGGACCAGGTGAGGTGTGTCGGCACTTTCCCCTATCAAGACCCTTGTCATCAGCCAACCTGCGGGAAACCAATTGCAGGAGAACCAGCCGGAGACAACTGGGGTCACAAAGGACAAGCTGCGGCCGCTTCGTACTATTCTGATTACTTTGATAGATGAGTCGGGCTTTTTCGAAAGGTTAGATCTTGTTATTTAGGGATTGACCTTTTTTGTGTGTTTCAGTGTCAGCCCATTTTGAGATGTGCACTCTTTTACTGTGGCTATTCTTTTGCGTGAAGGGGTCATAGATTTCGTGAATCTTTGAGACATACTCTCAAGGATGGATCATTTTGATTCATTTTAGAGTACCTTAATTAACTTAAAAGATGGAACTCATAGAACCGTGATTTATCACCTTGCTACCAGTACTATCTTGGTATATCTTGGTGGGATTTTAAATCCTTTGGTCTGTGAAAAATTACCGGTTTCTGTTTGGAAGCGACCGGTGCCGCTCCAGGATCCGGGCGCCGTAACCACTGTAACTGGAGATGCGGCAACCGAAGCAGTGCCTTAACCGTCAATGATTCACCGGTGATTAAGGCGGGGATTTAACTTTAAAGTAAACCATCCCAAGAATCCCAAGTCTCACCAAAGATGAATCTACTGAAGGCTAAAAGCGGCCAACAAGGACTTGAGAACAACGAAAAACGGCTCAGTTTATTGATCCCACCTTGAAGGCCTTGGGGCATCCAATCTTGACCCGTCTACATGTCAGGTTCAAAGCTGCGAGCCAAGTCCCAAAAAAATGGAAAGCTCGGTTAAGCATTGGATCAAAATACGATGCCTAACGTCGGGTCCCGGCCAAGTTTGCCCATTGCGAGGTCCAGAAAGTTTGGGACAACCTCTCAAGATTTGGGCCATGCACATGTTACAAAAATGGATGATTTAATGATCCCTGCCCTCAAAATGTTGTTTGGACTGGGTTTGTCTCAAGCTTGGGGGGGCACCCCAAAATTTTCATCTTGTGATGACGAAAATCATGGTCTAAACTATCATGATATCATTTGGGCTTCCCAGAACTTGATGCATACTACCATAACTGCCATTTAGAAACTGCCTTTTTTGTAAGTTCCGTATGAGACCATTATCATACAGCCGATACCATTTATTGTTGACCCGTATAGTCGGTACAATATGACACACACACACTGTGCCTATTATGATGGTAAACAACGGATATATTCGTTAGTATATGCCCATTAATGGTTAAAACACATGCATACATATACCAAGCATACTATACATTATGACAACTGATTACAATGATTTCTAACAATTATGATTGCTATATTTATATGGCTGATACTCTTATTGGTACTTAATGGAATTTGTTAATGCCATAAAATTTGAATACAATCCTTTTCCTATTAAATAGTAGTCACAACCACACTAATACCATTGACCAACCATATTGCCATACATTGAGAACCACGGGTTATATTTTTCCTACTATTTCTACCATCATGTTCATATATGATTAACAATACCTACCAGTAGTACCACACAAGGTGGTGACGCAAGTTTCAAAAATAGGAAACCTATAGGAGAGGTTGGTTGTTGTGAATCAGAGATGGCAGAGCGAAGCCACAGATGGACTAAAAGGTGCTTGAGGTCTCCTCTCTTTCTCTCTCTCTCTTTCTCTCTTTTTCTCTCTGTTTGTCTATCTTTCCCTGATTATCTACCTACCTACCTACCTACTGATCTATCTGTCTACCTATCTATCTGTCTGTCTGTCTACCTATCTATCTCCCTATCTATCTATCTATCGATCTATCTACCTATCTATCTAGCTGTCTAGTTTTCTAGCTATTTGTCTATCTATCTATCTATCTAGCTAGCTAGCTATCTATCTATCTATCTATATCGATCTATCTATCTGTCTATCTATCTATCTATCTATCTATATCGATCTATCTATCTGTCTATCTATCTATCTATCTATCTCTCTCTCTCTGTCTCTATCTATCTATCTATCTAGCTATCTATCTATCTATCTACCTATCTATCTGTCTGTCTGTCTATCTATCTGTCTGTCTGTCTATCTATCTGCCTGTCTATCTGCAAGCTTGAAAACCAAGCTATTCTGCGAGATGTCTTCATTGTTCAGAGTTGACAACATCAAAAACGAAGCAATTCTGCGAGACTTCCTCAATGTTTGAACTGACAACGTCAAAAACGAAGCAAGTCTGCGAGACCTCTTCATTTTTCAAAGTTGACAACATAAAAAAACGCAGCAATTCAGCGAGACTTCCTCAATTTTTGCATTTGACAACATCAAAATCAAAGCAATTCTGCGAGACTTCCGTAAAAAAATGGAAAGTTCAGTGCAGCGCTGACAGTCTCGTACCAATGCGTTTTGCGGTTTTTCCACTCCACCTGTCTAAAGTACTGCGCCTGCCACGAAAAAGTGATGCCAGGTCATACGAAGTGCTGCGCCTGTCACGCAAAATCATCTTAGCAAACCTACAGATCTGATGCTCCAAAATGCAACACCTCGCAGGAAATCAGCGCCCTGACCTCCTAACATCTCTCATGAACACGTCTTTTGTTGCGCCTGCTACGGAAAATGCATCTTTGCAGATCCTCTTCAAATGTCCCACTCCTGCTATCGTTTTTGGAAACGCGACAAAACCCTCACGTTTTGCTCACTTTTGACGAGGTGCACAATCCCTTGTGCCTGCCATGCGAAACGAGCTCTGAACGTCCAAAAGTGTTCTGATTCTGACCCCCATTTCTTTGCACTTTTGACTTCGAAATGTGCTTCGCGGCACAACGGCGTGCACTTTTTCGACATCGCAACTTCCAAAAGCGGTCCGAACCTGATGTGTTTTGTCCATTTTGACTTCGAAATGTGCTTCGCGCCATTTCGGCGTGCACTTTTTCGACATCTCACCTTCCAAAAGTGGTCCGACAATGGTGTGTTTTGTACATTTTGACTTCGAAATGTGCTTCGCGCCACAACGGCGTGCAATTTTTCATCTCTCATCTGGCCAGCTGGCTCCGCACCCGCCGCTTTAGCGAGCCTACTTTTTGACCCTCCGGAGCCACAAATCATTGGAAAAACACAGTGTTTCGCGACTTTCCTACCTTTTCGCGCATCTGCATCTTCTTTCTTCTGACTCTTTCTCTTCTAATCTTTCTCTTCTCTCTGCGTCTGCCCGGCTCTGCTTTTCATCTGTCCATCTTGTCGGAAGTTTGACTTCTAAACTTCCTTCGATAAATTTCTGTTAATTATTCAGCAACTCTGATGAACCATGATGATTTGATCATGACTTGGCCACGTTTCTTTCACCATTGACCGATTGACCGGCATTAAGCAACCATACTTATGATGGAGATATCGCGGGGATATCTGGGAATGTAGTGACATATATATATAATGATATATATACCTACCAAAATTCGTTGGTTTCCATCCCGCCCTTAGGTGGACCATGGAGCTGACTGGGGCGATGTCACTGCTGATACCTCAGTCGAGGCACAGGGCGAGGCGATTCCAGCCGCAGTTTCAGCGAAGGTCTGAGATGGGCCGGAGAAAAAAATGGATGAAAAACAAATCAGATGAGGATTCTTAAGATTATGACTTAGCTAAATTCTAAACACATGCAAACCAGGTTTTCTAGTGGAAGCAGGAGCTCCACGACGGGAGGCTTTTGACGATAGTTCGGGCCCTATGACGACGGAGTGGCTATGTCACTAGGACGGCACGACGACAGCATGACGACGACGTGACGACGACGTGCCGACGGCACGACGACGATAGACCGACGGCATGACGACGACATGACGACGAGGCCACGACGGTGCGACGACGGAGCGACGACCGTCATAAGCCCGGGTTCGGCGTCCAACCCCACCTTATGATAAGCCTGGGTTCGGCGCCGAACCCGGGCTTATGACATGTCAAACCCGGGCTTGTGACGGTCGCCGCGCTGTCGTCGCATCGTCGTCATGTACGTCGTCGTCAAGCATTCGTCATGCCGTCGGTCTATCGCCGTCGTGCCGTCGGCACATCGTCGTCGTGCTGCCGAGCTATCGTCGTCAGGCCGTCGGCACATTGTCGTCGTGCCGTCGTCTCCATCGTCATATCGACCCATCGTGATTTTTCATATCCCACTAGTGCATGTCTTTTGAACTATGCTAAATTATGACTAATATTCTCTATTATTGTCACTATGATTCCAAAATAGTAATAATGATTATCATCCAACATATTAATATTAATTACTATTAACTCGTTGTCGTTTGTATAATCACTACTATCAGCAGTACCAAGAACAGATGATGATAATGAGGATAACGAGGAATGCTCTGATTCTATCGTTAATGGTTTGTTATTGGTTATAAGGAATGAATTACTTTGTTTAAGTCTATAATCATCGTATATATATATATGTGTATTACATATACATATGTGTTGCATTACATATGTATATATATATGTGTATTACATATATATGTGTATTACACATATATATATGTATTATATATATGTATTACACACACATAAATATATATATATATGTAATATGTATTACATATATATTTGTATTACACATATATTCATTACACACACATATATATACATTACATATACATATATATTTATACATACATACATACATATATATATATACATTACGTATATATATATTACATTTATATATACATATACGTAATATACATATATATATATAAATGTAATACATATATATATAGAAATGTAATACATATATATATATGTAATATATATATATGCAATATATATATATTACATGCATATATATATATGCAATATATAGATGGTACACATATATATATATTTATATATATAATCATACATATATATGTGCATATATATATATACACATATGTATGATGTATCTTTAAATATATATAAATGTATTAATGTATGATGTATCTATAAATATATATAAATGTATGTATGTATGTATGTATGTATGTATGAATGTAATGTAATGTAATGTAATCTAATCTAATGTAATGTAATGTAATGTAATGTAATGTATGTAATGTAATGTAATGTAATGTAGTGTAGTGTAATGTAATGTAATGTAATGTAATGTATGTATGTATGTTAGGTATGTTAGGTATGTTAGGTATGTTAGGTATGTTAGGTATGTTAGGTATGTTAGGTATGTTAGGTATGTTAGGTATGTTAGGTATGTTAGGTATGTTAGGTATGTTAGGTATGTTAGGTATGTTATGTAGGTTATGTAGGTTATGTATGTTATGTATGTTATGTATGTATGTATGTATGTATGTATGTATGTAATGTATGTATGTATGCATGCATGCATGCATGCATGCATGCATGCATGTATGTATGTATGTATGTATGTTATATATATATATGTTATCTATATATAGTATATGCATATAATTTATTTATATATATATGTAATATATGTAATATATATATATATGTAATATATGTAATATATGTAATATATGTAATATATGTAATATATATATATGCTATATATATATATGTAATATATATATATGTAATATATATATATGTGTAAGATATATATATATGTAATATATATATATATAAACTACATACATTTCATATATACAGACATAGATTTGGACATGAACATAGCGTGTATATATATACATAATATATATACACATGGACATAGATATCGATATAATCAGGAAGGCTTGTCGCAGGAATAGAATGAATTGAGAGTAGGTAGGCGGACACATGCTAGCTCCGCACTATACTGTTCCAAACAATTGAAAGCTGAGATCCATGTGTAAAAATGGTCTAGAGGGTATTTAGTTTGCAATATGCATGCGCGTTGTAGACGCTGGCTAATCTCACTGTTTTTTCCTTTGGGAGCGAGGAAACCACGTTTCGTTGGTGAATCCGAATTCCTTCCGGCCATAGTCGCTTCTGTCTCAGGGTGCCTTGGAGGCCTTGTAGGTTGTGATAAAAAGGGGCTGCACTTCCAGCTGACTGTGAAAGGATTGACCAATAGCTGTGTAGAATTCCCGTGTATGTCACTTCCTCAGCACACCCTTGATGTATGTTGCAATGGTTTATCCCAAACTGTTCATTAGATCCCATGGTTTCTTCATTGCTGGTTGTCTCAGCTGGAGATGTTGCCTCTGTCAATGAGTCGATGACCAGCTTTGCATTGGGCTGAGAAAAGGGCCGCAAAATCTCGAAATGCGAAGGTTGGGGAAAGGCTGGCAGCCTGGTGGACGAAGTCCTTGTTTTTGCTGGAGACGCTGATAACGACCTTGACATGGCAGGCGTGGAACAATGTGCACTGCCAAGGGCTCGGATGTACGCCCTGGCGTCCCTTGGGCTCCGGCCGCTTTTGCGTGGCAATCTGCACTGCCAGGAGGTCCGTTTTTGAGATAATCAGATAATTCTGGACACGACGCGTTTTGGCTGATTGAATTATTGCCGTCCGGCAAATTATGGTGCGTCGGCATGTATGTATGTTGTGGGGCGGGCTGGGCGAATAACGTTCATTCACTTGAGATCATCTATATGCGTCGGAGGGCTATTTATTTTTGTCTTGTTTTTTTTTGGCGGCAGGCTTTGTTTTTTTTTGGTTCCTGGTTCTACGCTTTCCTGTTTCTCTGATTTTCTGCTTTTCTGCTTCTCTGCTTCTCTTCTTTTCTGCCTCTCTGCTTTCATTGCTTCTCTGCTTTTCCTGCTTCTCTGCTTTTCTGCTTCTCTGCTTTTTGCTTTCCCTCCTTCGCTTTTCCTGCTTCTCTGCTTTTCTGCTTTTTGCTTTCCCTGCTTCTTTGCTTTTCTGCTTCTCTGTTCTCCCTGCTTCTCTGCTTTTGTACTTCTGTGCCTTTCTACTTCTACTATTCTACTTTTTCTTTTCTTCAGTCATGTGTTTTTGCTGCTCTCCTTCCTGCTCCTTTGCTTCTTTGCTTCCTGTCTTTAGTGTCTCTTGGTTTTTCATTTCTTTTGCTTTATTCTGTTCTGTTTGTATCCTAAATGAAACCCTAGAGAGACCCTAGGTGAAACCTAAAGAAGTCCTGATTAGAAATCCTGGTAAGAAACCCTACATGAAGCCCTATATGAACCCTAAAGAAACCACTAGACGACGGATGGCCCGAGAGCGTAGAGGAGCAGGGTCTTCTCTTGTTTGTATGGAGACACCATATTACAAAACAATATATTAAAGATGTGTTATAGGCAGACGAGAAGAGGAGTATCAAGACTATAGCACAAGTACAAGACAATAGTTTGCATCGCAAACACTTTTACACACAGAAGCTTTTACACACAGACGCTTTTACACACAAAAGCTTTTACACACAGAAGCTTTTACACACAGAAGCTTTTACACACAGACACTTTTACACACAGACGCTTTTACAGACAGGCACTTTGACACACACAGACACTTTTACACACAGGCGCTTTTACATACAGACAGTTTTACACACAGACGCTTTTACACACAGAAGCTTTTACACAGACGCTTTTACCCACAGAAGCTTTTACCCACAGAAGCTTTTACACACAGAAGCTTTTACACACAGACGCTTTTGCACACAGACGCTTTTACACACAGACGCTTTTACACACAGAGGCTTTTACACACAGACACTTTTACACTAGACCCTTTTACACACAGGAGCTTTTACACACAGAAGCTTTTACACGCAGACGGTTTACACACAGACGCTTTTACACGCAGACACTTTTACACGCAGACGCTTTTACACGCAGACACTTTGACACACAGACGCTTTTACACACAGACACTTTTACACCACAGACACTTGTACACACAGACGGCTTTACACACAAACACTTTTACACACAGACGGCTTTACACACAGACGCTTTTACACACAGGGGCTTTTACACACAGAAGATCTTACACAGACGCTTTTACAGAGACGTTTTTACACACAGACACTTTTACACACAGACACTTTTACACACAAACGCTTTTACACACAGACGCTTTGACACTTTACACCACAGAGTCTTTTACACACAGAAGCTTTTACACACAGCACACAGAAGCTTTGACACAGACACGTTTACACACAGAAGAAATCGCAATTTTACCTCCGTTTTTGACGATCGAACCTCATTTCGTGCGAAAGGGTTGCGCGGGATGACTTTGAAATCGCAATTTTACCTCCGTTTTTGACGATCGAACCTCATTTCGTGCGAAAGGGTTGCGCCGGACAAGTTGAAATCGCATCTGTATACATCAGTTTTTGGCGATCGAAGCTCATTTCGTGCGAAAGGGTTGCGCGGGACGACTTTGAAATTGCAATTTTATTTCAGTTTTTGACGATCGAACCTCGTTTCGTGCGAAAGGGTTGCGCGGGACAAGTTGAAATCGCAATTTTACTTTAGTTTTTGGCGATCGAACTTCATTTCGTGCGAAAGGGTTGCGCCGGACACTTTGAAATCGCAATTTTACCTCAGTTTTCGGCAATCGAACTTCATTTCGTGCGAAAGGGTTGCGTTTCGTGCCGTCTCGTTGGCACTGCCCCTGC